GGTAACTGTAACAGGGAAGTCTGGGAACATATTTTGGAAGTTGTTACACAGTGCATTGCTGGATTGTGTAAAAGAAACACTCTGGAGCTTTGGTGGACAGGTCAAAGGTGTTCACTGAAGTACCAGGGGACACATTTGATTAAAGAGACTGGGGTAACCAATCTGAACAAAGATTATGGTGGGATATGTTTGTTTTTAGGAGAGTTGCTTATGGAGTGTTGGACAACAGGAGAAGATGTTAAAATTTTTGGAAGGTCCCATGGGGAGTAACCACTTGCCTGTAGGTTGTCCCTCCACAGACACTGTCCTAGCAAACAATGGGACAAGAGTTCCAGGTGATGGTGACGGTAATAATCTGGGTAATCCATCTTGGAAGATTGGTATTGATGATAAACAGAACAATATGGTGTTAATCTTGAAGGATTCGGTTGCAAGGGTACCCACACAGGTATTAGCATACCTCAAAAACAGATGGTGGTGTTTGAGGCTAATACAGGTAGTAAGAAGGGTGGTTCCCTGAAAGATAGCATAGAAGTAGGCCCCCCTACAGTTCTGGGAGAGTAGTTTGGGGGGAGGTAAAAAGAAACATGAACCCGTGGCCAAAAGGTAGAAGGGATGGTAGAAGGACCAGGGGGACCCTGGTAAAGGTTAAGAAATACTTGTGGAAGCACGCCTTTAAAAAGAGGTTGGTAGAGTTCCCATTTAGAGGCAAAACATAAGGTGAGACAGGTTTGGACCCCAGTAAGTGGTAATTTGCTCAGGTACCAGGGTGAAGAAGTGGTGTTTCTCCCTCTGTGTGAAACAAAGGGGAAGGGAGATATGTGACACAGCAAGGCCATACCACTCTATGATAAGGCATTCTGGGCTGGGTTTTGAGGAACAGGGGTATTGCTTTATATGAAGCTAACATCTAACAGCCATCTCAAGACAAGATTGGAAAACATGACGATTTTCGAGAGACTCGAGTCGGAGAGAGTTTCTATGAGAGATGGAACAGCTGGAAGCTATAATGGAAAGACACAGCTGGAAGAGGTACAGTGTTTGTGTACTAGCACTGCAGATGGGTGCTAGATGGTCTGGAAGACCGAGACAAGAGGCCTGAGTTGCAGAGCTGATAAAAAGAGCCAGGAGGCTTGCATATTGCTTTGTCGTATTGATGGCAAGAACTCCCTGCAAGTGAAGATATGTATTTGTGAACTTTTTGCTTTCTTTTAAATAAAAGTGGACAGGAAAAGCCCTGAAATGTACTTCTGCTGTGGAGTAAACTCACTGTATAAACGCATCTACCATGAGAGCGAACAACCCCATGTCACACTGCTTATAACTGATAGGTGCAGCAGTATGTACAGTATGTAAATTGTTTGGCAGTAAGATTGGTTATTTTGGGTTACATAAATATGTTTATTATCGTTTAAGTATTATTACTACTGATGCTACCTTACCATTGAAACAAATTTAATCTATTTTGCATTTGTGCTATTTATTTTTTAATTCATTTATACATTTAACCGCTTTCCCCCCGCCCTATAGCAGAAATACTACTACACGGTGGCATTTCCAGGTAGGGGGCACGCGGGAGACGCGTGCATGCCCTATCCACGCCATCATTGGCGGCCTCACCGGTCGATCACCGGGTCCCGGCCAGTGATTCCCCGCTGACACCCAGTGATCACCGTGCATCACCGACGGGGAGAGACCTGTATGTAAACTATACAGATCTCTCCCTGTCAGCTCCTGCACATTGCTTTGTATGGCTCTACATAGCAGAGCCATATAAAGCAATGTGCTTACACAGTAAAGCACACAGTAAAATAGCACACAGTTAACCCTTTGATCACCCCAGATGTTAACCCCTTCCTGCCAGGGGCGGACTGACAACTCATAGGGCCCCCGGGCAATAGGGGATCATGGGGCCCCTGTGTCCTTGCCCACGCTCAAAAAAGCCTATAAAAAAGGTACCAGGGGCATTTCATGGGGCCCCTACTGACCCCGGCCCTCGGGCAGTGCCCCAGTGCTCAAATGGTCAGTCCGCCCCTGCTTCCTGCCCAGCGTCATTACTACAATGTCAGTACTTTTTATTAGCACTGATCACTGTATTGGTATCACTGGGATTGTCAGTGACAGTTAGTCAGTTCCCCCAGTGTCAGAATGCCCGCCGCAGTCCCGCTATAAGTCGCTGATTGCTGCCATTACTAGTATGAAAAAAAAATTCCAGTATCTATACCGCCATTTGTAAATGCCATAACTTTCACGTAAACCAATTAATTTACACGTATTGGGATTTTTTTTTAGCACAGACATGTAGCAGAATATATTTTGAAATTTATGAGGAAATTTGATTTTTTAATTTTTTTACTGGACACGTTTAATAGCAAAAAGTCAAAAATATAGTTTTTTTTCTCAAAATTGTCAGTCTTTTTTTATTTATAGTGCAATAAATAAAAAACTCACAGGCAATCAAATACCACCGAAAGAAATCTCTATTTAATTTGGGTGCAGCATTGCATAACTGCGCAATTGTCAGTTAAAGTAACGCAGCGCTGTATCGCAAAAAATGGCCTGGTCAGGAAAGGAGGTAAATCCTCTGGAGGGTAAGTGGTTAAAAGAGGCATATTATTGGTTGAATGACTGTATTATTATGCATACAGTTGCAAGAAAAAGTATGTGAACCCCTTGGGAGTACGTGGAGTTTTGCATGAATTGGGCATAAAATGTGCTCTGAACGTCATCTAAGTCACAACAATAGAAGAACACAGTCTGCTGAACATAATACTACACAAACATTAGATGTTGCCATGGTTTAATTGCACATAACATGTAAACATTCACAGTGCAGGGAGGAAAAAGTATGTGAACCTTTGGACTTAATAACTGGTTGACCCTCCTTTGGCAGCAATAACCTCAACCAAACGTTTCCTGTAGTTGCAGATCAGACCTGCACAACGATCTGGAGTCATTTTGGACCACTCCTCTTCACAAAACTGTTTCAGTGTAGCAATATTCTTGGGATGTCTGGTGTGAATCGCTCTCTTAAGGTCATGCCACAGCATTTCAATCGGTTGAGGTCAGGACTCTGACTGGGCCACTCCAGAAGGCGTATTCTGTGCTGTTGCAGCCATTGTTTTGTTGAATTACTTGTATGCTTTGGGTCATTGTCCTGTTGCATCACTCATCCTCTGTGGAGCTTCAGTTGGCGGACAGATGGTCGTACGTTTTCCTGCAAAATGTCTTGATAAACTCTGGAATTCATTTTCCCATCAATGACAACAATCCATCCAGGCCCTGAGGCAGCAAAGCAGCCCCAAACCATGATGCTCCCTCCGCCATGTTTTACAGTGGGGATGAGGTTTTGACGTTGGTGTGCTGTGCCTTTTTTTCTCCACACATAGTGTTGTGTGTTCTTCCCAAACAACTCAATCTTGGTTTCATCTGTCCACAGTATATTTTTGCCAGTAGTGCTGTGGAACATCCAGGTGCTCTTTTGCAAACTTCAAATGTGCTGCAATATTCTTTTTGGACAGCAATGGCTTCCTCCGTGTGTCCTCCCATGTACTCCATTCTTGTTTAATGTTTTCCTTATTGTAGATGTGTCAACAAAAATGTTAGCATGTGCCAGAGATGTCTGTAGGTCTTTAGCTGACACTCTGGGATTCTTCTTTACCTCATGCAGCATTCTGCGCTGTGCTCTTGCAGTCATTTTTACAGGACGACCATGACTAGGGGGAGTAGCAAAAGTGCTAAACTGTCTCCATTTGTAGACAGTCTGTCTTACCGTGGACACATGAACATCAAGGCTTTTGGAGATACTTTTGTAACCCTTTCCAGCTTCATGCAAGTCAACAATTCTTGATCGTAGGTCTTCTGAGAGCTCTTTTCTGTGAGGCATGGTTCACATCAGACAGTGCTTCTTGAAACCAGTAAAACCAAAACAGGTGTGTGTTTTTTAGGGCAGGACAGCTGTCAGCAACACATCCAATATCATCACACTGATTGGAGTCAAGGTTGGCTCACTCCTGGCTCCAATTAGCTCTGGGAGAAGTCATTAAGCTAGGGCCTCACATACTTTTTCCTCCCTGCACTGTGAATGTTTACATGTTATGTGCAATTAAACCATGGCAACATCTAATGTTTGTGTAGTATTATGTTCAGCAGACTGTGTTCTTCTATTGTTGTGACTTAGATGACGTTCAGAGCACATTTTATGCCCAATTCATGCAAAACTCCACGTAATCCCAAGGGGTTCACATACTTTTTCTTGCAACTGTATGTGAACTTCCTATGCTAGAACTGTTTAGAGTATTGTGGGTGCACCCTAAATTTATTTTATTTATATAATTGTTGTGTTAGACCCATGTGGGGAATTGGTTGTTTGTGGATGTGGCTGAATAAAAACTGTCAGGAAGCCTTGTGTGCTGAGTGATTTTTAATGGATACTTAATTTGGTTAAGCATCTTCCAGCGGGTTTTGCTGGTTTAGCTTGAAATCCAAAGTGCACTGTGTTACAGGTTAAAATATCTGTTGTGTGCAAAAATCCCACAGTCTCCTGTGAGATTTTCTGGAGGAGTTTGAAACTATTTAGAGGACTTTGGACGATTTGTTTTATATGAAGCTAATTATTTTTCTACAAACAGCACAAAAAACAATCCGCAACTAACAGACATCTCAAGACAAGATCGGAAAACATGACATCTTTTGATGATGTTTTGGAGGAAATTGGACAGTTTGGCTTTTTTCAGAAGTGGTTGTTTTTTCTCATGTGTTTTATCTCTGCTGTGTTCAGCCCAATTTATGTAGGCATTGTATTTCTAGGATTTGTACCTGACTTCAGATGTCGTAATCCTGCCGCTGAGGAATTAGGTAGGATATGTGGTTGGAATGCTGAAGAGGAAATGAATTACACTGCTATCCTTCCAGATGACTCTGTGGATGCTCTGTACTTTAGCCAGTGTCTTCAGTATGGCACAGACTGGAACTGGACATCCCTGTCTTGTACAGATCCAATGAGGAATCTAACCTCATATAGTAATAACAACGTTACCAGCTGTACCAATGGTTGGGTGTATGATACTACAGGATCATCAATAGTAACAGAGGTAAGAGGTTTTGCTTGAATAGCACAAATATTACTTTGAAAAACATAAATATCCATGCTATGCTCTGATGCAGTCCTGGAGGGGAGGCACTCTCAACAGTACTTTAGATAGAGCAGCTGCAGTCAAGTGTTTCAAATAGGGAATGAGCCGAATGTACCGGGATTTGACTTCAGGCAGGTTTGCAGAATGTTCGGGTGCCGAATCTTAACTCTATTGAAGTCAATGGGAACTGAATGATAAAAACAGTAATGCCCATTATCTAGGCTAAAATGCAAGGGGTTGTCAAACAAGTAGCCTAGGGGGCTGGGAACTGCCCGGGGAAACGTGTGTGCAAAAGAAAAACATTTTCTTAAAAATTCAGTTTGGTGGGGAGCAGCAATTTTAGGAATACCTTAATGGCGACATTAAAGTTATTCTAAAGCACGGGGGCTCAGCCTGTGGTCCTTCAGCAGAAATACAAGTCCCATGAGGCTTTGCAAGGCAGACAGGTACAAGCATGACTCCCAATGCCGAGGCTTCATGGGGCTTCTAGTTTTGCAACAGCTGGAGGGCCACTGGTTGAGCACCCATGTTCTAAAGGCTCAAAGCATTCTATGCATGAATGTAAAAAATCCTCTGTGTGTAGCAACCCCCTCAACACTTACCTGAGCCCCATCCTGATCCAGTGATGTCCACAAGAGTCTCAGTTCTCCAGGTGCTCTCACTTCTGATTGGCTGCTGTCAATCACAGCCAGTGAGCCAATTAGTAGAGGCTGGGGACAGGGCCAAACTGAGGCTCTGATTGAGAATGGACATGCAGTGCCTCAGTTCAGGAGAGCACCTGCTTGGGTGCCCCCAAAGCAAACTGCTTGCTATGGGGCACCAACAGGAGAGAGGAGCCAGGAAAACCGACGCAGGACCTGAGAAGAAGAGGATCCAGGCTACTCTGTGCAAAACCACTGCACACAGCAGGTAAGTATGACATGTTTGTTATTTAAATTAACCCCCGAAGACTTTAGAATAATTTTAATAATGCAACATTTGGGGATGGGGTGGGGGGGGGGTGCCCTTAGCCTGACTGTGAAATGGCGCTTCTGTACAATGTATACAACCTTACTTCTACAGAAAACCTGACATTTACAAAGAAAACAATGCTTTTTTTAATTGCTGGTAAATTACAGATTTGGCTGCTTTACTCCTGTTTATTTTTTAAACAAATGGTGAGGTATTCCCTTCATCTATACCAGTCCCTTATCTTAAATGAATGTCTGGTATAGATGTTAATGGGTGGTCTCACAAAAAAAAATGCAGGGGGTTCTCACTAAAAATATATAGAAAACACTTATCGTAGATGAGGGAGTCCGCACGCAAAAACCCCCCCCAAAAAATGCGTGATCACCCCCTTCAGGTCTGGTATGATTTTTAAGTAGGAACCCCCCACAAAAAAAAAGAAATCAAAGTGTGGGGTGTCCCCCAAAATGTATACCTGGCAATCCAGGAAAAGCCAGGGATGGGCATGTGCTCCTCCCCTCCTGAACTATACCAGGCCACATGTCCTCAGCATGGTGGGTACCTTGTCAGGGAGGACTATTCTGGGAAAACATCTTGTCCTCATGTTGATGGAGACAAAGTCCTCTTCCCCTCTAACCCTGGCCTTGTGGTTGTTGGAGTCTGTGAGCAGGGGGATTATCAGTCAGACTCTAAAGTCAATCCACTTGCCCTCCTGAGGATTTACCCCCCTTCCTGACTAGGTCATTTTTTGCTGCGTTACTTTAACTGACAATTGCGCGGTCATGCAACGCTGCACTTACATTAAATTTATGTCCTTTTTTCCCCAAAAATAGAGATTTCTTTTGGTGGTATTTGATTGCCTGTGCGTTTTTTATTTTTTGTGCTATAAAAAAAAAAGGAGGAAAAAAAACAATATTTTTGACTTTTTGCTATTAAATATGTCCAGTAAAAAATTTTAAAAATCAAATTTCATCATAAATTTATCCCAAAATGTATTCTGCTACATGTCTTTGCTAAAAAAAAATCCCAATACGTGTAAATTAATTGGTTTACCTGAAAGTTATGGCATTTACAAATGGTGGTATATATACTGGGATTTTTTTTACTAGTAATGGCAGCGGTCAGCGACTTATAGCAGGACTGCAGGACTGTGGCGGACATACTGACACTGGGGGGAACTGACTTGATGTCACTGACATCCCCATTGACACCAATATAGTGGTCAGTGCTAAAAAAAAGGAGTGTGAATTGCTAAACAATCTTCAAGAAGAGAATGAAGCACATGCTTCCATAACTACATATACTATAAGTATCATATAATTAGGTACTATAAATTAGTCAATTATAAAATGTAGCATTACTAGCCATTTTCCATACTTAAAGTGCTATTAAACCCCAAACCAAAAATGTAATCAATTTCAGCTTACCAATCATTAGATATGGTGTCTGCATTAGTTTTTTTTTTAGGCTTTTCTCCCCACTGTTTTCACCTGGTGATATGACCAGTAACTTACCTCCTGTATTAGAGATATGAGGATTGTCAGTCTGGGGAAAGGGGAGTGTTGGATGTACTAGCAGATTTAGATACACTAACAAAATGAGGGTGAACTCTGAAATGTTTTTCCTTTTGAGATAAAGACTTTACATCAATAAATAAAATCTGATCATTGTAAGCACCAATGTCAGTATTATATATGGTTTGTATCAACCCTCTAAGTGCTAAGTATGCAGGGCAAGCTTGCTCTGTTGACAAATAACCGATTTATTGGCTGGATCACAGGGGAAAACCTTCAAAAGAAAATGAATGCAACCAAAGAATTGGTAAGCTGCAATACAATAAATGTTTGCTTTTGGGTTTAAAGTGGTTCTAAAGACTGAAGGTTTTTTTTTCCCTCATACACTGTACAGTATACATGAATGTATAAAACCTTCAGTGTGTAGATTCCCTCTCACCCCTCCCCCCTTATACTTACCTGAGTATCAATCTCGATCCAGCGCTGTACACGAGAACAGTGGCTCTCCATCCCTGGTTTCTCCATTGGCTCCAGCTGCTGTCAATCACAGCCAGTAAAGAGGAGCAGAGGCAGAGCCGACACACAGAGGCAGCTCAGAAGTGAGCACGCATGAGTGCTCCCAGAGCAAGCAGCTTGTTCTGGGGGGAACTCAGTGGTGGAAGGGGCCAGGAACACCGGCAGGAGACCTGAGATGAGGAGGATCCCAGGCTGCTCTGTGCAAAACCATGGCAGAAAGAAGGTAAGTTTAGACGTGTGTGTTATTTTTTTATTAAAAGTGAACCTTAAATATCACTTTAAAGTATATGTAAACCCATTCAGTTTAAAATAGAGATGAAAGGCAGAACATTTGTGTATAGATATAAAATAAATGTATAGACACTTTTTTCCCCTTTTTTTTTTTATAAGCGATCACATTCCCTTTGTTCTCAGCTTCATAAGTGCCGGGGGAAGAAAAACAACATCACAATGATCTCAGTTCCCAGCATAGTTAGAGAACTGACTATGATGTGCGCTCATGCTTAGTGTGGTCAGTTTTTAATAGGAAAGCAGAGTGCTAACTACCAAGCCAATGTGCTGCTTTGTATCTAATATTGGCTTCGTTCTAAGGTAAGAATGCATTGCATATTAGCACATTATATCATTGCTTTGAAGGGATTTTTTTTTCTAATCTGAATTTTCTACCGCTTTAAAGGCCTGGATTCTAATTTGTTTTTAACTTGTTCCTTGACTTTTTGTAATTCTCCTTCATGTTTTTAAAGTGTATCTAAACCCTGTTAGTGAATTTCCCTTATTTTCTCCCTTTTGTTTGTTAAATATACCATTGAATGTATTTTATTATATGAATAAGTTAAAAAAAAACAATTGATCCTGCCAGATATCTTCTCAGCTGATAACGTCCTATGCTTTCTGGGCTCCAGAACTATGCCAGTCTATGGTATAGGGAATAAGCAAGAGGAAGGGTTCTGTGGTCCTATCTTGTTTCAGTTGTCATAATACAGAAGTGGGGTTACAAAGGAACACATTTTATTAAAAATATTTTTTTAACTGTCATCATACGCAGTTCAAAGCTCATTCTTTGCTCTGCAGATGAAAAAAACATAGTAGATATAAAATAACTATGTAATTTTGGGGTCTATTTTTAAAAAATATGCATAGCCAGTGAATCTGAATGTACATTTGTTCAGTGTGAATAGGGCAAAAATGAATGTTCTTCTTTCAGGCTTTTTCTCTTCTGAACCAATGTTCCTCTATTATGGGCAGTAGAAATATACAGCATCATGGCCACTACAAGAATCTTAGGAGCATAGGAAATATTTAAATCTCTGTAACAAGAGATATAATGTAGCAATTCTAGAGAATGTTAGCAGAATACAGAAAATAAAGTGTGTGTGTGTATGTATGTGTATATATATATATGTGTATATATATATATATATATGTAGCACTGCCTCTTGGGACAAGCTGTAATATATTATGGGTCCTGCGCTCAATAGATCCAACCCTAAGCAAACCCAATCCCTCTGGCACAACTGGTAATGAATAGCAAATACCCCGCCAAGAAATTTGCTGACACAGGGTTAAATGAAACAAGAACAATTTTATGGAGAATAAAATGCAGTGTAGAGGGGTGGGGTTCCCCTTTCAACTTCAAAACTTACTTTTCTTCTTTTATGGAATGCAGTAAATTTGGTCTGCCACTAGAGGGCTTCACAGCCAAGAGTCTCCGGATGGCAGAGTGGCACTTTAAGCAGAATACAACTGATATCAAACAAATAAACTTACTTATGCTCTATCAATTAAATGTATTACCCACACCGGTATATGATTCTGCTTCTGAGGGGCGTTAGCCAAAAATCACCGCAGAGTCAGAACAGAATGCAATAAAGAGGTACCTCTAATAAAGCTACTAAGCCAGATTCCCCCACTTCAGTCCTTGTAACGGTGCAGCTCTAGTTGGTGCACGTTTAGTCCTTACAATGAAGTAAATAGCAGCTGAAGGCTTCTTTGGAGTTTCAGCTGGTGTGGGTTACATCCGATTTCACTAGGTTTCTGGGCTGAGAGGTCCAACCTCAGTGTCTAAACACAACACAAAGCACCCCAAAACCAGGGGCAGTTGCAGGATGCAATCTCCCAGTATGTGTCAGTCCCCGGGGCAGACAGTCTCAATTACACTGGTGGTGAGGGGCAAAGCAGGCAGAGGGATCTGTGGCTTGCACAGGGCCCGGATGGGTGAGATCCCAGCAGTGGGGTGCGGATGTCCCAGTCTCTATGCAAAGTGTAAATGGTGTGTCTTACTCTCTCCAGTGGGACAGCTCACCAGACTCTGAACACACAGCAGGGTCCCTCTATCCGCGCTGGGTGCTGTAGTGCCTCCTCCTCTCCTTGGACGGGCTCCACATGTCCCTGTCTTTTCTCCAGCCTCGTGTCTCCCTGTTCTCCCCTTCACTTTCTGCTTCCCTCCCTTTCCCAGCGTTCTTTGCTGTGTAGTGGATGAGTCATGAACTTGGCAGAATGCCCAGGTTTTACAAATAGGGGAGAGAGAGGAAGGACTGACTTCTGAATCCTCTTGTACAAGGAGCCTGCTACATATATATATATATATATATATATATATATATATATATATATATATATATATTATGTGACAGTATGAACGGCAAAGTGATGGATGGACGATATGTGTCACCTCGCATGAGGTCATACTGTGAGGTGTAAGGTGGAGTCCACTCCGGGTTTTCGGGGTCACAATGGCAGAGGTGGTTCCGGACCAGAGTTTGGACTCCACTGATGACCACCAGCAGGTGATACAAAAAGGGCAGGGCTGGAGCAAGGAGTCGCTCGTGGCCTGGGACTCAGAGAGGTATTCTGAGAGAGCTGTGTGTGTACTATACCTACAAGAAAAGGTTTGCGTTTGTTTTGTTTTTGGGTGACAGGGAGAAGCCCTTCACCTCTGAGAGAGGAAAGTTTCATGTTTAGTTAGTGCCTGGATGGCAAGGGTTTATTTTACTGTTTTTGTTTGTTTTGACATTTTTGCAAACCTGTAAATAAAGCTGACAACCAGTCAGATTTTAAGAAAGACTGCTGTGCGGTCTACCTTTTTCCCAGGGAAGGTGATCCCTCACCTGAGCTAACCCCACAATATATACAGTATATATACACAGTATTTTGCAGTATTTTATATATATACAGAGTCTTTTGCAGACTCTAAACAGGTTTTCTTCTAACATTGCCCCATATTTGGCTCCATCCATCTTCCCATCTACTCTGACCAGCTTCCCTGTCCCTCCTGAAGAAAATCACCCCTACAACATGATGCTGCCACCACCATGTTTCACAGTGGACATGGTGTGTTCAGGGTGATGTGCAGTGTTAGTTTTCCGCAACACATAGTGTTTTGCTTTTAGGCCAAAAAGTTTAATCTTGGTCTCACCTGACCAGAGCACCTTCTTCCACATGTTTGCTGTGCCACCCACATGGCTTCTCGCAAAATGCAAATGAGACTTCTTATGGCTTTCTTTCAACAATGGCTTTCTTCTTGCCACTCTTCCATAAAGGTTAGATTTGTGGAGTGCAAGACTAATAGTTGTCCTGTGGACAGATTCTCCCACCTAAGCTGTGGCTCTCTGCAGCTCTTCCAGAGTTACCATGGGCCTCTTGGCTGCTTCTCTGATTAATGCTCTCCTTGCCTGGCATGTCAATTTAGGTGGACGGCCATGTCTTAGTAGGTTTGCAGTTCTGCTATACTCTTTCCATTTTCGGATGATGGATTGAACAGTGCTCCGTGAGATGTTCAAAGCTTGGGATATTTTTTTTTTTTATAATCTAACCCTGCTTAAAAACTTCCCCACAACTTTAGCCCTGACTTGTCTGGTGTGTTCCTTGGTCTTCATGATGCTGTTTGTTCACTAATGTGCTCTAACAAACCTTTGAGAGCTTCACAGAACATCTGTATTTATACTGAGATTAAATTACCCACAGGTGGACTCTATTTACTAATTAGGTGACTTCTGAAGGCAATTGGTTCCACTAGATTTTAGTTAGGGGTATGCAAGTCACATGTTTTTCAGATATTTATTTGTACAAAATGTTGAAAACCATTTATCATCTTCCTTCCACTTCACAATTATGTGCCACTTTGTGTTGGTCTATCACATAAAATCCCAATAAAATACATGTACGTTTTTGGTTGTAACATGACAAAATGTGGAAAATTTCAAGGGGTATGAATACTTTTTCAAGGCACTATAAATATATATAATTTGTGTGCGTATACATACAGTGTGTGTCTGGAGGTATGTATATATATGCATTGTACAGAAGATTTCTCCAGGATCCAGCTGCCTGCACAACATGAAACATGCCTTCATTAGAGCTAAGTAATGTGACTAAAGCTATAGAGTTTTTTTTTCACCTAAACTTTAGTTTTAAAGTGCTCTAGTAGGAGTATCTTCTGTATAGTACCAAGAAATATGTGAGGCTAGCGGTTGAGTCAGATTCAACTTACCAATGTCCTTCTGCTACAGGAAATTTAGCACTGAATGCTGTCTGTGATGGCAATCAGTCAGAACTGCCTTTCATGTTCTAACCTGCAATGGAAAATAAAGAAAAGAGATTAGTTGTCACCTGCAACGGGACAGCATCACAAATAATAAATCATTTCCCGTGAACAAATCGTAGAAGACAAGGAGATCCCAGTGCAACAGGCAGGGCACATTTATGAACATTAGAATTATTACTCCTAACTGCTATTAAAGATCAATAGACAATGGATTGCAATAAAACTAACTAAATCTTTACTTTATTCAGTTTAATCTTGTGTGTGATGACTCGTGGAAGCTGGACCTTTTCCAGTCATTTGTGAATTTTGGATTTTTCCTTGGCTCTTTGTTTATTGGATACATAGCAGACAGGTAAAGGTCTATGTGCAAAAATATCTGTTAAAAATAATGTGAAAATAATACATCTCTTTTATATTTCAGATCTTACTTTAACTGTTTTCTTCTGTCCTCTAGAGAAGTTACCTCCATTAATAACTCTAATCTGTGTCTGCAGATTTGGTCGCAAACCATGTCTTTTAATTTCTCTCCTGGTCACTGCTATTTTTGGTGTCCTTGTGGCATTTGCTCCAACGTATCCGTGGCTGGTTACCTTCCGCTTTATTCAGGGCTTAGTCAGCAAAGGCAGTTGGTTGTCAGGATATATTTTGGGTAAGTTAGAAAATGTAAATATAGATCTGCTCTTTTGTAGCAGACATAATAATATAAGGAAAAGAAGGGCCTTTTTTTGTCTTAACTGCAAGGTACTTTTTTTGAACTATGAATCAAGGGCATGCAGATGATGGACCTTAAAATCAGGCTACAGTGGGACAGGTTAAATTAATTTATTCCCTGTTGATAGATCCAAAGAGGACATAAAAACTTAAAATTAGGAACCTAAGCTTGGTTATACATACATTTTGCATACAAAAAATGCACATAAACAAGCATTAAAAGTTTTTGTAAGGGCATCTGAAAACCCACACATACATTACTGCACGCAGACAAGTTTGAAATGGTTCTAAAGCTGACAATACCTATAGCAACTGTCATGAAATTTTGACCAGCTTTTTAGCTGATACAATGTGACTGAACAAACATCTGCAACCTACCTTTGATAAACTGGCAATGCACAGTATGTACTAAAAATAATCTGGTAGAATAACTGAAAAAAATAAAAATGCTTGAAAACCATATCCCTTTAAGCAGTATCATAGAAAGTGTTTGGGCTTTTTGCTGCATTTGCCATCAGGATTTGGTCAGGCACTTGCCAGTGCTCTGCTTGCTGTATCCAAGTGTTACATTTGCTACGGTTCCTTATGTTCTCTCTGGGTCACACTATCTGCCTCTTTTGGCTAGGTTCACATATGTGCGGGTGGTGCAGCTGCGGATCCGCATGAAAATCCGTGCAGCCACCCGCACAGAGGAATGCGGACCCGTGGGTGGGTGCTATTAGTTCTGATGGCACGCCGCCCGCACTGGAAAACGCAACCGTACTGGGAATTGAAGTTCCCATGCGGGCGGTGTTTTTCAGAGGAAGTGCAGGGACTTCTTCCCTGCGTGTCACGGGGCACAGGAGTCCATTAAAATGAATGGGCTCTCGTGCCCACGCAAAACGCAGCCCGCACGGCCGCATATATGTGAATCAGGGGTTAGGCTGCTGACAATAGGGCTGGACTGTGCACCTGTGCCTTCTATATGTATAAGACTTTTCCCCTACCCGGAAATGCAAAATCACATGTATATATACATGTGATTTTGCACACCCGAGGCGCCCTGTAGCAGTATTTCTGCTATAGGGCGGTCAGGAAGAGGTTTATTTATTCTAAAACAATATATGTACATAAAATTATTAGTAATATACAGTAGTCCTTGCATTATAAATACTAAATGGCATTTTTAAATATTGTGTAATACAGTATTTCAACATTTTACACATTGCTAAAGACAAAACATTTTATTTTTTTAACTTTTAAATAGAGGAAGGAATGGTTAAACGTTAAACTTGTTATTTATTTATTTTCTTGTTTGCCTTCTGTGTCCCACACTGTACTGCTTGGTTACAGCATGTTAAAAAAAATTGTGAAAAAAGTAAAAAAAAAAAAGTTTAAAAAAAGTTAAAAAAGAAAAAAAAAATAAATATATATATATTTTTTTAACATACTGTCACCTATTAATGCCCCTGATCACTGCCACTCCAGTCTATACTGCTCTGGTGAAAGTATGTAAAAAAACCCTAATTTTATTTAATTTATTTTCCCAAAAATTGTGACGAACGTTACAACTTCAAAAAACTCACCATGCCTCTTTCTAAATACCTTAGGATGTCTACTTTCCAAAAAGGGGTCATTTGGGGGGCATTTGTACTGTCCTGGCATTTTAGGGCCTCAAAAAATGAGATTGGCCTGATCAGTACATCAGGACTAATTAATTTTCATATATATATAACATAGTTTGTAGATCCTATAACTTTCACACAGAGTCAATAATATACACTGATTTGGGTTATTTTTTTTTTACCAAAGAAGTGTAGAAGATTAGATTTTGTCCCAAATTTATGAATAAAGATTATTTGCAAAATTTTATAACAAAAAACTAAGGAAAATGTTTTTGTTTTTTTTTTAAATGTAGGTATTTTTTGTTTATAGAGCAAAAAAATAAAAATCCTAGTGGTAATTAAATACTACCAAAAGAAAGCTACATCTGTCTCAAAAAAAATTCTAAAAATTTCATTTGAAAAAGCAGTGCACATCAATGCTGTCAGAGTGATCGAGTTAGATGTTGAGTTATAGCGCTGCTACTGGGCCTGTCATGACCTGCTGAGTCTGAAGCCTATGGAATAGCAGCAGAAGATACTTCTTTGAAATTAGAACACGCATCTGCCGCCAGCCAGTTATTATCACAACGAGCTTAAGTACCTTGCTGCCCTGTTTTTAGTATGCCTTTATTATGTTTTTAGTACAAACCACAGCAAAGTCATTTACAATTAAAAGCTTTTTAAAATATTGTTTTTTTTAAAAAAAAAACAGCACTACAAAAATTAATAAAAAAACTTGTTTATGGTAACAAAATCACACACAAAAAAAAGAAAAACTAGCTAAGACAAGAGGGTAGCTAGGTGGAAGGAATGGGTTAATACAAGCTAATTGGAGTTCACTTGAGGTTAATAACTGGTTAAATAGTAAATAACTGTATTAGGAAGAAAAAACTTTTCTGGTTTCATAGGTGAAGTTACAGAGCAGAACAGCTGGACATACAAGGTACATTCAAGGCATATCTAGTATATCTTTGGTCCTTAAATGGTTAATAATTACATATTTATTAATGCAATACTATTATTATTACATGTAAGTAAAATTGAGATCAGAGCATTTCAGATATGTCTTACTATTGTCACCACATTCTAGTTGCAGAGTTTGTTGGCTTGGATCACAGAAGAACTGTCGGGATTGTATACCAAGTTGCATTTACAGTTGGACTTCTGGCACTTGCAGGAGCGGCTTATGTCATTACAAATTGGAGATGGCTTCAGCTGGCAGTCACTCTGCCAAACTTTGTGTTCCTGACATATTACTGGTAAAATTCTGCCATTATCTATCTAAAAAAACAGCTTAAGCCAAATATGAAACAGCATACAGTTGTGCTCAAAAGTTTACATACCCTGGCAGAAATTGTGAAAGTTTGGCATTGATATTGAAAATATGATTGATCATGCAAAAAAATGCTCTTTTATTGAAGGATGATGATCATATGAAGCCATTTATTATAAAATAGGTGTTTGGCTCTTTTTTAAATCATAATGATAACAGAAATCACCCAAATGGCCATGATCAAAAGTTTACATACCCTGGAATGTTTGGCCTTGGTACAGACACACAAAGTGACACATAAAATGCCAATTAGAGGTTAATGTTCCACATCTGTGGCTTTTTAAATTGCAATTAGTGTCAGTGTATAAATAGTCAATGAGTTTGTTAGCTCTTATGTGGAACCACTGACTAGGCTAGTCAAAACTGTCAGAACTGTCAGAAGTCCTGCGTAACAAGCTAATGGAACTTTATAAAGATGGAAAAGGACATAAAAAGATGTCCAAAGCCTTGAATATGCCAATCAGTATTGTTAAATAACCTATTTAGAAGTGGAAAGTTCGGGGATCTTTTGATACCAAGCCAAGTACAGGCAGACCAAGAAAGATTGCAGCCACAACTGCCAGAAGAATTGTTCGGGATACAAAGGGAAACCAATAAGTAACCACAAGAAAAATACAGACTGCTCTGGAAAAAGATGGTGTGGTTGTTTTTAAGGAGTACAATACGGTGATACTTGAACAAAAATGAGCTGTTTGGTCGAGGTGCCAAAAGGCATGCTATGTCTCCCAGCACAGTCTCAAAGGCATGGTGGAGATTCCAGGAGACAGGCAGGTACTCTAGGAGAGCTAGACAGGGTCGTAGAAGATCCTTAACCCATCAGCAGGACCGATATCTGCTCCTTTGTGCAAGGAGGAACAGGATGAGCACTGCCAGAGCCCTACAAAATGACCCCCAGCAGGCCACTGGTGTGAATGTCTCTGACCAAACAATCAGAAACAGACTTCATGAGGGTGGCCCGATATCCTTTAGTGGGCCCTGTGCTCACTTCCTGGCACCATAGAGCTGGATTAGCATTTGCCATTGAACATCAGAATTAGCAGGTTTGCTACTGGCACCCTGTGCTTTTCACAGATGAGATCAGGTTCACCCTGAGCACCCTGACAGACGTGAAAGGGTCTAGAGAAGCTGAGGAGAAGGTTATGCTACCTGTATCATCATTCAGCATGATCGTATTGGTGGTGGGTCAGTGATGGTCTGGCAAAGCATATCCATGGAGGGATGCACAGACCTGTACAGGTTAGACAATGGTACCATGACTGCCATTAGGTATCGGGATGAAATCCTTGGGCCCATTATCAGATCCCACGCTGGTGCAGTGGGTCTTGGGTTCATCCTGGTGCACGACAATACCCGGCCTCATGTGGTGAGAGCATGCAGGCAGTACCTGGAGAATGAAGGAATTGACGCTATTGAATGACCCCCATGCTCGCCTGACCTAAATCCAATAGAACACCTCTGGGATATCATGTTTAGGTCCATCCAAAGCTGCCAGGTTGCACCTCAGACTGTCCAGGAGCTCAGTGATGCCTTGGTCAAGATCTGGGAGGAAATATCCCAGGACACCATCCGTCGTCTCCTTAGGAGCATGTCTGGATGTTGTCAGGCATGCATACAAGCACATGGGGGCCATACACACTACTGGCAGTTTCATTGACATGATGGAACTTTCATCTTGTTCACTAATTTCTGGAGCTAATTCTCTTGCAAAGTGAACAGCTTATTTGCCTTTAGTAAATGAACCCCAGTGCATCCACAACACCTAACCAGTACCTATACCATACCTGATCAGACATAGGGTTAAGTGTTCACATGGAATTTCCAAAGAATGTTCTCCATGCAATTCTGTATCTAATGAATTGTATATATACTGTACCAGAGCCACATCTGTTGCAAATGGTGAAGGCCCTCGCATTACAGTTGCAGTTGTGCGGGGCAAGCCTTTCTAGAAAAGAAAGACAGGCCCCTCATCATGCTTTTCAAACCAGGTGAGCTTAGTAGCGTGTGCTCCAATCCAGACAAATTGTGTGAATATGCAGTGCACTGCTTCTTTCTCTAGAACATCTATAGTGGCTGCAACTGAACTCAGTGGGATCAGGGAGAGCAAGCACTGTGCATGCGCACAGCTTAAATGGCTCAGTGGCAGCCACTATGGGGCACTTTATTCCATTGTTCAGGGCATCCTGTAGGGGCTCTGGTATGCACTACTCATTTGAAATGGAATTTAATCAGGGATTTCTGGAAAACCTTCCTAGAGATTAACTTACGCTTTAAAACCCAACAAACTTTCAGTTTTTAGCTAAGATCATTTCAGGGGTATCAAAACAGAAGTGTCTTAAAAATGGTTTTCTAACTCTGGTGTGTTTGCAGAGATCTGACATGCTCCGTGTAGAGTCAAAGCTCATGATGATGATTCAGCACAAAGGAAGTTTGATCTCTGTAAAGAGACCACTGCTTCAACACAAATAACAAAAATCCATCTCTACAGCATGCTGGCAAGAGACAGGCTTTTCTACTCTGTGACTGTGTCTCATTTCTGTGCAGCATTCACTCGTCTCTCCACGTCACTGTCTCCTGCAGTGGCCTGGAGGAACCAGTGAGAACTGCGGGTGACCGCTAATATTGACAACTTGAGAAGTATTGGTTTTCCAGCAGAGTTTGGGGGACCATTACTTAGATCAGAGCAGAGTTCTGTGGCTCTAGTGGCAAGAGAGGTCCCCTGGTTCTTTCCCCTGACAGCCACATTACTAAAAAGCCCAGTAGTGATGTTGGTGTCAGCAGAAGAAGACAATGAGAGCAGTGGGGGACACAGGAGATCAACACTCCTGGAAGTGTTCGTTTCTGAAGAAATTCTGCCAAAATCAGTAACTAATTATATAACCCAATGCAGCTCCTGATGACCAAGGCAAACCCATGATTTGTTGCTAGCCAGTTAGGTACTCTACTCAGCTGCAACAGCAATGCTGTATCTAGCTGAAAATTGCCAAAGGAGAAAAGCAGAGAGATTTGTATCTGCTACAGACCTCTGCTACAAATGTAAACTAAAAAGTTAATTTATTACAGGTGTGTTCCAGAATCACCCCGATGGCTCCTATCCCAAAATCAGAAAAATAAGGCCAAAGAAATTATTGAGCATATTGCTAAGAAGAATAAGAAACCTATACCCCATACTTTACAGGTGAATATCTAAATTCTTTTGTTGTTATTATGAAGACCACATGGTTTAAGCTTAAACTGAAGCACTAAGCCTCATGCCCCATGTTATATAACTGTTCACTACTGTCAGGGCTCCGGGTATGACCAGAGGTATGTGAACTGACACAGGGAAACGCAGGCTTCAGATATGTTATAAACAATATAATTTATTAATACTAACAATACATAAACGCAGTGCAATACTAAAACATAACAGTGCAACGAACCAAACCAAACCACCCACAGATAACAATACATACAATGTAAGCGTAGTCAGGCAGGCTGGGTCAAAAACAATCGGGCAGGTAGGAACAGGAGGAGCAGGCAGAGAGTAGTCAGGTCACGAGCCGGGTACAGCAACTAACGGGCAGGTAGGTACAGGGGGTCAGGCAGAGAATGGTCGGGGTCACAAGCCAGGGATCAAACAGGAGAAGTCAGCAGAGGTCTGGATCAGGCAGGGTCGGCAACAAATCAGTCAGACAGGAACAGGAACAGGAACGCAGGTAACAAGATACAGGGGCCCATGTAAAAACACACACCAAGGCCCTGACTGCAGGTCTGGCCATCCCTTAAATACACCTGCAATCAGCCTCAGGTGTTTTGGCTGACTGCAGGGTTGAGTCTCTGATTGCTGAGAGCACCCGCTGGCCAGCCCTGGTACTGCAGCCCACAAGGCAGGTGAGTCCCACCATTATTGGCAAGTCTATTCCTGACAGTACCCCCCCCCTCAAGGAGCGGCCTCAGGACGCTCCAAACAGTCCTAGCTGAGCAAAATGTTCCACCGCCCGGGTCTGGTAACTGACGGGATATCAAAGACTGGCACATCGGGCTGGACTCCGGGCAGCGGCACATCGGGCTGGGCTCCGGGCAGCGGCGCATCGGGCGGGCTCCGGGCGGCGCATCGGGCAGCTCCGGGCAGCACATCGGGCTGGGCTCCGGGCAGCGGCACATCGGGCTGGACTCCGGGCAGAGGCACAGGGCCCCCAGGAGGAGCGGCAGGCACAGGGCCCCCAGGAGGAGCGGCGGGCACAGGGCCCCCAGGCGGGGCGGCGGGCGCCGGGCCCCCAGGCGGGGCGGCGGGCGCCGGGCCCCCCCAGCGAGCGGCGGGCGCCGGGCCCCCAGGCGGGGCGGCGGGCGCCGGCCCCCAGGCGGAGCGGCGGGCGCGCCGAGCCCCTAGGCGGAGCGGCGGGCGCCGGGCCCCAGGCGGAGCGGCTGGCGCCGGGCGGCGGAGCGGCGGGCCCCCCCCAGGCGGGGCGGCGGGCGCCGGGCCCCCAGGCGGGGCGGTGGGCGCCGGGCCCCCAGGCGGGCACTGGGCCCCCAGGCGGGCGGCGGGCGCTGGGCCCCCAGGCGGGGCGCCGGGCCCCCAGGAGGGGCGGCAGGCGCCGGGCCCCTAGGCGGAGTGGCAGGCGCCGGACCCCCAGGAGGGGCGGCGGGCACCGGGCCCCCAGGCGGAGCGGCAGGCACCGGGTCATCAGGCACGACAGCGGGCATCGGGTCACCAGGCATCAGGTCATTTGGCTCGCCAGCGGGCACCGCGTCATCTGGCAAGGCAGTGAGCACCCAGTCACCAGGCACCACAGTGTGTTCCGAGTCAACTGGCATGACCGCGGGCACTGGGTCAGACATTGGATCGTCTGGCTCGACAGCGGGCATCGGGTCACCAGGCATCAGGTCATTTGGCTCGACAGCGGGCACCTCGTCATCTGGCAAGGCAGTGGGCACCAAGTCACCAGGCACGACAGTGGGCTCTGAGTCAATTGGCACGACAGCGGGCACCGGGTCATCAGGTACCGGATCGTCTGGCTCAACAGCAGGCACCGGGTCATCTGGCGCTGGATCGTCTGGCTCGACAGCGGGCATCGGGTCACCAGGCATGACAGCGGGCACTGGGTCATCAGGCATTGGTCTGGCTCGACAGCGGACATCGGGTCACCAGGCATGACAGCGGGCACTGGGTCATCAGGCATTGGATTGTCTGGCTCGACAGCGGGCATCGGGTCACCAGGTATGACAGCGGGCACTGGGTCACCAGGCATCAGGTCATTTGGCTCGCCAGCGGGCACCGCGTCATCTGGCAAGGCAGTGGGCACCGAGTCACCAGGCACGACAGTGGGCTCCGAGTCAGCTGGCATGACCGTGGGCACTGGGTCAGACAATGGATCGTCTGGCTCGACAGCGGGCATCGGGTCACCAGGCATCAGGTCATTTGGCTCGACATTGGGCACCGCGTCATCTGGCAAGGCAGTGGGCACCGAGTCACCAGGCATGACAGTGGGCTCTGAGTCAATTGGCACGACAGCGGGCAGCGGGTCATCTGGCGCAGGATCGTCTGGCTCGACAGCGGGCATCGGGTCACCAGGCATGACAGCGGGCACTGGGTCATCAGGCATTGGATCGTCTGGCTCGACAGCGGGCATCGGGTCACCAGGCATGACAGCGGGCACTGGGTCATCAGGCATTGGATTGTCTGGCTCGACAGCGGGCATCGGGTCTCCAGGTATGACAGCGGGCACTGGGTCACCAGGCATCAGGTCATTCGGCTCGCCAGCGGGCACCGCGTCATCTGGCAAGGCAGTGGGCACTGAGTCACCAGGCACGACAGTGGGCTCCGAGTCAACTGGCATGACCGCGGGCACTGGGTCAGACATTGGATTGTCTGGCTCGACAGCGGGCATCGGGTCACCAGGCAACAGGTCATTTGGCTCGACAGCGGGCACCGCGTCATCTGGCAAGGCAGTGGGCACCGAGTCACCAGGCACGACAGTGGGCTCTGAGTCAATTGGCACGACAGCGGGCAGCGGGTCATCTGGCGTTGGATCATCTGGCTCGACAGCGGGCATCGGGTCGCCAGGTATGACAGTGGGCACTGGGTCATCAGGCATTGGATCGTCTGGCTCGACAGCGGGCATCGGGTCACCAGGTATGACAGCGGGCACCGGGTACCGGATTGTCTGGCTCGACAGCGGGCATCGGGTCACCAGGCATCAGGTCATTTGGCTCGACAGCGGGCATCGGGTCACCAGGCATGACAGCAGGCACTGGGTCATCAGGCATTGGATCGTCAGGCTGGATCAGTTCATCAGGCTGGGTACAGACATCAGGCTGGGTAGAAACATCAGGCTGAAGTGCGGGTGCCGAGGCACCAGGCTGAACCACGGAAGGCAGGTTCTCAGACGGCAGGCTCACCGGTTTGGATACTGGCAGGATGGTACTGGTTGGAAAGAATTTTCGCTTTTTTCTGGTTTTAACTACTGGAGCACTGCTAGTAAACGCAGGTCTGCAAATGAATGGAGCAGCTGAGGACAGAGAAGAGCTGGAAGATGGAACAGAGGAGGGAGCAGCCGCCACAGAGGACCTCTCCACAGGGCCAAAGAAAGGATAGGTGCAGCGGGTGGGAGCAGGGGACTGGTATGTGGTAGTTAGCAGAGTATACTGGGCCGTCACTGGGGGTGCTGTCGGGGATGCAGGAAGAGTGCCTTGAGCAGAGGAATGACGTTGCAAGCTGACTGAGGCTGGGTGCAACAAGTCTGACCATGTCTGCAGTACGGGTTGAACAAAGCTGAGCTTACACAAAGACTGTCTGACCAAAGACTGCACTGCGTTTATACAATCCCTTAATACCTGTGGTGAACATGCAGCATAATGCTCCAAGAAGCAATCCACATCATCCTCTAATAACCATACCAGGGACTCTACCTGGTCTGCACTAAATGGTGGCAAAAAGTCATTCCTGCTTTCAGGGGTACCAGATGAAGCCAACTCTACACAAACCTGAATCAAAGGTTGCACCTCAGAGAACTCTGTGCCCTGATCTACCAGAACATGAGCGATCCGTATACATTCTAGCAGTTGATCCCGGGTATACTCCCTCAGAGTCTGATAAGCATATTCTCTGTCATCAAAAACCAGCAGCGACAAATACACAACCTCATCAAGATCCATCCTTCCCAGCAACAAGCCAAGATGGCTTCCCTGTGCAGCCACTTCTGGTCAGGATTGGCCTTGGTGTAATGTCAGGGCTCCGGGTATGACCAGAGGTATGTGAACTGACACAGGGAAACGCAGGCTTCAGATATGTTATAAACAATATAATTTATTAATACTAACAATACATAAACACAGTGCAATACTAAAACATAACACAGTGCAACGAACCAAACCAAACCACCCACAGATAACAATACATACAATGCAAGCGTAGTCAGGCAGGCTGGGTCAGTAACAATCAGGCAGGTAGGAACAGAAGGAGCAGGCAGAGAGTAGTCAGGTCACGAGCCGGGTACAGCAACTAACGGGCAGGTAGGTACAGGGGGTCAGGCAGAGAATGGTCGGGGCCACAAGCCAGGGATCAAACAGGAGAAGTCAGCAGAGGTCCGGATCAGGCAGGGTCGGCAACAAATCAGTCAGACAGGAACAAGAACAGGAATGCAGGTAACAAGATACAGGGGCCCATGGAAAAACACACACCAAGGCCCAGACTGCAGGTCTGGCCATCCCTTAAATACACCTGCAATCAGCCTCAGGTGTTTTGGCTGATTGCAGGGTTGAGTCTCTGATTGCTGAGAGCACCCGCTGGCCAGCCCTGGTACTGCAGCCCACAAGGCAGGTGAGTCCCACCATTATTGGCAAGTCCATTCCTGACAACTACAGCCCACTGGAGTTCACTACAGCCCACTGGAGTTCACTACAGCCCACTGCAGTTCTAGCATTTGACAGCTGAATGACAGGAGGTAGGCTTAGCAATGGGAGGGAAAGAGCCAGGGGCAGAATGACAACTCATGGGGCCCCCGGGCAATAGGGGATCATGGGCCCCTGTGTCCTTGCCCAAACTCAAAAAAAGACTATGAAAAAGGTACCAGGGGCATCTCATGGGGCCCCCTACTGACCCCAGGCCCTCGGGCAGTACCCGAGTTTCCAAATGGTCAGTCTGCCCCTGGGTAGAGCTTACTTTTGACTTAGGCAGATGTCGAGGCCCTTGGTACAGCATTGAGCCTAGATTTCAGGGCCTCCACAGGGACACAAGGATTGGTTTGAGAACATAAACAGATACTTACAGACAGGGTCAGACAACTGATGAGGCAAGAGCTCAGGGCCCAGCAAATGAAGGGGGGCCTGACCACTGTTACAAACATAGCTGTGGCAAGTTTCAGCCTGTCTTGTAGGCACATTGCTAAGAGCCTGACAGAAACAAATCATATAATGCAGCCATCCTCTTTTGTCTGACACCCTCAGCTAATGTCCTATGATGCAGAGGTCAAGCAACCACCAATACCTAATTACCAATGAGCATACTGCCTGTCAGGTGCAGTGCGCAGAACTTAAAGGATTATTTCACCTTTTTGAAAAAATTAGAAGGTGAACTAACACCCTACACCATCCCCCCCAACCCCATCTGGTCCCTGCTGTATTTGTTGATAGACTTGTGTACAACCAATCAGCACCTCCGGCTATAGCCAGCAACACTGATCATTGTATTTTGATGGCGGGGAAGGCTCCCTGCTGTCAGAATACAATACCAGAGCAGGAATGATCCCCCCATTCACCTTGAATTTATAGATGGTGGGATAGGCTAATTTATGTTTTGTTCAACCTGCTGGTTGAATGAAAAAAATAATTATGTATGGCCAGCTTTATACCTTAAGTCTAAACTTGTGACTGCCTAGGAGCAAAAGAGAGATACAGAGCTTGCTTTACAGTCACCAAAACTCGATTGCCTTTAGATCTACCAACAACTATGTAAAGGAAGGGACTGCCTGATTTGATACATATTGATTGGATAGATTAGGTAGGTCCTCATATTTTGCTAACAAACCTAAACTTGATTGCACTGTCAGATTGTAACATGTTTGGAGATCCTTAGAGCTGTTGGCTAGTGGTGTGATTTAACAGGCCTTTCAATTTTTCTACTATGTAATGTCTTTCAAGTTCCATCCTCTCTTTGTTGTTAGATTATAAATAGTATTCTTTTGCAATGGCATCATGCCCTTTTCACTTTCATTCAAGATGTCTCTTGTTGGTGAAATATTTACAGCTTTCTGAGAAGATAGTGTTAATAAGAACAGCATTACCTGTTATGTGATCTGTTCTACATAAAGTAAATGATGTTTAGCTCCTAACCACTGCAGCCCTAAAGCCTTTCCTAGTCTAGTAATTTTTTTTGGATATATGTTAGTTCTGTACCTTATGACTTTTAGCTTTGAATGTTTTTTTGGGGGGAATTCAAATAGAAATGTAACTTAGCAGCAAGTTCGATAAATGTGTGTATATATATATATATATATATATATATATATATATATATATATACACACACACAAAATAATTTATTGGGAATCAAAAAGATGTAAAGCTAGCTGTAAATCTACCAGAGGCCCTGTTTAGAGTTAATTGAACTCTACCCATTAATATGTGCCTGCATTACAGCATTTTTGGTGTCTTAGAAATGTTTTCATCCAAGTCAGGTTTACTTTTTTTTTCAGTCAAGTCGTTTTTATTAAGGTTTTTCTGTATCTTTTGTACAAAAAACAAACACAAAAAATGTGAGTTTACTTAAGACAAAATCTAGCATGTGGAGCAAACATCAATCCAAGAAAGAAGACATAATAACAAAAAATAGCTTTAAACTGATTTCAGAGATTGTACGATTTTTTTTTGTTTTGTTTTCTTATAACACAAGATTCACTTAGCCATATATCCACATTAATTGTCTATTATGCAGCACTTTATCATATTCTAAATTGTGAGGTGGTGTAATACAATCCTTACAGAAGGCAGTGTATTAACTAGGATCCTAACCTACGGGTGTAACAAATATCTAGCTTCCCTTAGCAGATTCCGGGGATAGCGGTGGAAGTGTTGATTCCTTGGACTCCAGCCACAGATACCATATTTTTTAAAATTTGTTTGGGCATCCGCTGTGTTTATAAGTTGCCTCCTCCCTCCTTAAATTAAAATTAAGGGCATTGCGCCACTGATTATAAGTTGGAAATGTGGATGAGATCCATTTTTGGAGAATACGTTTATGTGCCAAATATAAGGCTTGGGTCCAGGTTTACTTTAAAGTCAATTTCCATTAAAAAATGTATGAAAACATCATGATGAAATAATTATTGGAAATACCCAGGGATGATTCTCCTTATTGCATTCTAGCCTATACCAGGTAGAAAATTCGAAAGGTACGGAGTTCTTAAAGTGTTAAATGTGCATCTATCCTTGCTATTAAGGTTCCATAGGTTGCAAAGCAGAGTGATAAAAAGCTGGTTTTATGTAAGTGTACTCTTTTAATTACAGAGTTTAACTGCAAATGAAGACACTGGCGAGAAACAAATTCCATCTTTCAAAGATCTTTTCAGAACTCCCCAGATAAGGAAACACACTTTCATTTTAATGTACATCTGGTATGATAAATTTATCTGTAAACTAGACTTGTACTTATCTACAGAATCATTTAGCAGCAGATATAAAACATTGTTATGTTCTTACTTTACATAGTTAAATTAGATTAAACATACACTGATGATACCCAAAATAACTGCTGCAGTTTTGGTCCAGAGGAAGGGAAAAAAATAAAATCCTTCTCGACCCCCAAATGCAGTTGGCTCAATTCCCAGGGTCAACATGTTTCTCTAATAATGTCATGTAGCCAGAACTTTGAATATTATTAGCTTCAAGAAAATAATTTTTTTAGTCTCAATCATTGATTTTGCCATTCCCTTTCCATGTGGTCAGTAGTGTATTTAGATTTTGTGCTGCCCTAGGCAACACAAACATTTTGCCCCACCCAATGAGAGAGCGAGAGAGTTCAATAAGTGTGTGTGTATATATGATCGTCTCTCTCTCCCTTTCTTTCTCTCGTCCCTCTTTCCCCCTCTGTCTCTCTTCTCCCTCCGCTCTCTCTTTCTCCCTCCCCATCTCTCTCTCTTCCCTCTCTCTCCCCCTCTCTCTATCTTCCCTCTCTCTCTCTCTCTCTATCTCCCTCTCTCTCTTCACTCCCTCTCTCTCTTCCTCCCTCTCTCTCCCTCTCTTCCCCCTCCCTCTCTCCCCTCTTTTTCTCTCTTCCCCCCCTCTCCCTTCCCTCTCTTTCTTTCTCCCTCCCTCTCTTCCCTCCTTCTCCCTCTCTCTTTCTTCCCTCTCTCCCCCCTCTCTCTCTCTCCCCCGTTTCTTTCTCTTCCCTCTCTCTTCCCCCCTCTCTCTTTCTCTTCCCCCTCTTTCTCTTCCCTCTCTTTTTCTCTTCCCTCCCTCTCTCTTTCTTTCTCCCTCTCACTTTCCTCTCTCTTTCCTTCTCCCTCTCTCCCCTCTCTTTCTTTCTCCCTTTCTCTCTCATCTCTCTTTCTTTCTTTTTCCTCTCTCTCTCTCTCTCTCTCTCTTTCCCCCTCTCCTCTCTCTTCCCCCTCTCTCTCTCCCCCCCCTCTTTCTCCCTCCCTCTCTCTCTTTCTCTTCCCTCTCTTTATCCTTCTCCCTCCCTCTTTCTCCCTCTCTCTTCCCTTTCTTTCTTCCCTCTCCCCCCCCCCCCCCTCTTTCTCAGATCGTATGGGATCACCCCCCTCTCCAAGGGCTGCTGATCTCCGGGCAGATCTGTCAGTGTGCAATGTACTAGATGGGATGGATGACAGGAGGGAGAGCCCACAGAGGACAACACAGCTCACCTCCTCCAGGCTCTTTCCTTTCTGACACTTCTCCTCTCCCTGCACCAGGCTGTCCCCTGGTCCTGGCTCGTCGGCTGCTTGAGGAGAGGTACATGACCGTCGCTCTGCAACTTCCCTCCCCCACACCCCACCACATCAATCTTCCTGCTGTCCGCCGCTGCTCAAAAGGTCCCTTCTTCCGGGGGGGACTGTGCCGTCCCCCTATAAAATTGCTGCCCTAGGCAAATGCCTTGTTTGCCTCGAGGTAGATCCGCCCCTGCATGTGGTAAAGTATTTTACCGCTATCTGTGAAGAACCATTTCCTAAATTAATAATAAAACATAATTTCTTCTATGTATGTGAAATCCTTTTACCCTTTGAAAAGTCCTTAGGATAACAATCTAGCTTGCCAACTCTTTATACTGCCTTTGAATATGTTTAAATGTTAGTGCTGTCACATCTAAGACTTCATGCTCACAGGGGATCTTCTAAATGCTTTTCTCCTGGCAGGAGAAATGTAGCCTTAAAACAATTCTAAGACATGTTTTTTTCTGAAAAAATTCTCCTCTCTTGAACGCACAAGTGATGTTTGTTTTTTTTTTTCTGCCTCTAAATGCTCTTGCTTCAAAATTCCTGTAAACACCTATATGTGCATAAACATATAGGCTAACATAGAGGTGGCGTTTAGAGGAGAAGCAGTTATCGAGCTCAAGTGTGCATGAAGCCTCAATCATCTTTTTTTCCAAACTAAACTTGTACTAATTTCAAACCTTTTATCAAATTAGTTGGGTTCCTTTGAACTCTCACCAAAACTCTCATAATGTCTCTTTTACTAGGTGGAATGAGGCCCATTCTCTAGAAGTTACCTGACAGACTATATAAACGATATAGATTAAATATGACATAAGGATGCCATTGTTTTATTTCCCTTTTTATTCATCTCAAAATGTTGTTTGCTTTCGCAGTTGCCAATTGGCATTGGGTGATGTGGCTTTATAAGAGGTGTACAAGTATAGGTAGGCACACAAGCTAGGGTCTTGATAAAGTCAAAAGACCTAACCTGACCTGAAAGGTGTTTAGCAGATATACTGTATGCACCATAAGATCACACATAAATATGAATGCTTCCTTCATTTCTGGATTTTAGGGATAATACACAGATACAGTGGGGCAAAAAAGTATTTAGTCTGCCACCAATTGTGCAAGTTCTCCCACTTAAAAAGATGAGAGAGGCCTGTAATTGGCATTATAGGTAGACCTCAACTATGAGAGACAAAATGAGAAAAAAAATCCAGACAATCACATTGGCTGAGTTGGAAAGAATTTATTATGGTGGAAAATAAGTATTGGTCAATATCAAAAGTTCATCTCAATACTTTGTTATATATCCTTTGTTGGCAATAACGGAGGTCAAACGTTTCCTGTAAGTCTTTACAAGGCTGGCACACACTGTTGCTGATATGTTGGCCCATTCCTCCATGCAGATCTCCTCTAGAGCAGTGATGTTTTGGGGCTGTCGCTGGGCAACATGGACTTTCAACTCCTTCCAAAGGTTTTCTATAGGGTTGAGATCTGGAGACTGGCTAGGCCACTCCAGGACCTTGAAATGCTTCTTACGAAGCCACTCCTTCGTTGCCCGGGCGGTATGTTTGGGATCATTGTCATGTTGGAAGACCCAGCCATGTTTCATCTTCAATGCCCTTGCTGATGGAAGGAGGTTTGCACTCAAAATCTCACGATACATGGCCCCATTTATTCTGTCCTGTACATGGATCAGTCGTCCTGGTCCCTTTGCGGAGAAACAGCCCCAAAGCATGATGTTGCCACCCCCATGCTTCACAGTAGGTATGGTGTTCTTTGGATGCAACTCAGCATTCTCTCTCCTCCAAACACAACGAGTTGTGTTTCTACCAAACAATTCTATTTTGGTTTCATCTGACCATATGACATTCTCCCAATCCTCTTCTGGATCATCCAAATGCTCTCTAGCAAACTTCAGATGGGCCCGGACATGTACTGGCTTAACAGGGGGACACGTCTGGCACTGCAGGATCTGAGTCCCTGGCGGCGTAGTGTGTTACTGATCATAGCCTTATGTTATGTTGGTCCCAGCTCTCTGCAGGTCATTTTACTAGGTCCCCCCCGTGTGGTCCTGGGATTTTTGCTCACCGTTCTTGTGATCATTTTGACCCCATGGGGTGAGATCTTGCGTGGAGCCCCAGATCGAGGGAGATTATCAGTGGTCTTGTATGTCTTCCATTTTCTAATTATTGCTCCCACAGTTGATTTGTTCACAGCAAGCTGCTTGCCTATTGCAGATTCAGTTCTTCCCAGCCTGGTGCAGGGTCTACAATTTTGTTTTTGGGTGTCCTTCGACAGCTCTTTGGTCTTCACCATAGTAAAGTTTGGAGTGTGACTGTTTGAGGTTGTGGACAGTGTGTTTTATACTGATAACCAGTTCAAACAGGTGCCATTGATACAAGTAATGAGTGCAGGGACAGAGGAACCTCTTAAGAAGGTACAGGTCTGTGAGAGCCAGAAATCTTGCTTGTTTGTAGGTGACCAAAATACTTATTTTCCACCATAATTTGCAAATAAATTCTTTCCAAATCAGCCAATGTGATTGTCTGGATTTTTTTTTCTCATTTTGTCTCCATAGTTTGAGGTCTATCTATGATGCCAATTACAGGCCTCTCTCATCTTTTTAAGTGGGAGAACTTGCACAATTGGAGGCTGACTAAAATACTTTTTTTGCCCCACTGTATTTTTTAAATAAATTATTGTTTTATCAAGGAGCTGAATAGGGTTCTTGAAAGGTTTGATATGAATTATAGAAGGATTTCCTTATAAACTATTCACTTTTCCCAGGATGTATACTACCTTAATAGTTTCCATATTATTGGAAAATATTCTGCTATAAAATAAATGTCCAGTAGCAATCCATTCTACAAAAAATGCTGTAGAAACATTTATTTAAAATTAATATCAAGACCGACAGAAAATGAATAAAATATACTGTGGAGGCTCAGTTGCTGTCTATTTCTAAATGTCACACACCATACAAATGTGTGCACGCTTGTTGTAGTTCATAGTCTATCATTTGTGGCTTAATATCTGCAAGTGCTGTGGCACTTCTTGTTCTAGGAAAGTCTGCAACTAATCTGTGAAAGGCTGCCTGTTTTTACACATTTGTCACACGTGTTATGAACTAGACTACACTCTGATCACATAATTAACAAATGACATGAACCACCTTTTATTTTTTTTTACAAATATCTGAAAATATTTCTTAAATGCTTTTTGCATCTTTTTATTTTTTTAGGCAAATTGTGACAAGCTGTAAAATCAATATAAAAAAAAAAAAACAGTAGAACATTACATGCTCAAAAAAAGCCTCTTTATTTATCACAAAAATGCATTGTTTTGGGCCCTATACCATCCCCTGTCACTGTCTGCCTAATGGGGCTGATGTATGGCCTTGAAACATTGCATTTTTTTTGTGATAAACTATGTTGCCAAAAATATTGGGACCAGGGGCAGACTGACCATTTGGAAATTCGGGCACTGCCCTTTAGGGCCCGGGGCCAGTAGGGGGGGCCCCATGAGATGCCCCTGGTACCTTTTTCATAGGCTTTTTTGAGTTTGGGCAAGGACACAGGGGCCCCATGATCCCCTATTGCCCGGGGGCCCCAAGGTTGTCAGTCCGCCCCTGAGTGGGACGCCTGCCTTTACATGCACATGAACTTTAATGGCATCCCAGTCTTAGTCTGTAGGGTTCATTTTTGTGTTGGCCCACCCTTTGCAGCTATAACAGCTTCAAGTGTTCTGGGAAGGCTGCCCACAAGGTTTAGGAGTGTGTCTATGGGAATGTTTGACCATTCCAGAAGCACATTTGTGAGGTCAGGCACTGATGTTGGACAAAAGGCCTGGCTTGCAGTCTCCGCTCTAATTCATCCCAAAGGTGTTCTATCAGGATAAGGTCAGACACTGTGCAGGCCAGTCAAGTTCCTCCACCCCAAACTCGCTCATCCATGTCTTTATGGACCTTGCTTTGTGCATTGGTGCGCAGCAGTCATGTTGGAACAGGAACAGGGGTGGACTGACAACTCATTGGGCCCCCGAGCAATAGGGGATCATGGGGCCCCTGTGTCCCTGCCCAAGCTCAAAAAAGCCTATGAAAAAGGTACCAGGGGCATCTCATGGGGCCCCCTAGTGACCCCGGGCCCTCAGGCAGTGTCCGAGTTTCCAAATGGTCAGTCCGCCCCTGAACAGGAAGGGTCCATCCCCAAACTGTTCCTACAAAGTTGGGAGCATGAAATTGTCCAACATGTCTGGTATGCTGATGCCTTAACAGTTTCCTTTCACTAGAACTAAGCAGCCAAGCCCAACCACTGAAAAGCAACCCCACACCATAATCCCCCCCTCCACCAAACTTTACACTTCGCACAATGCAGTCAGGCAAGTACCATTCTCCTGGCAACCACAAAGTCTAAACACGTCCATCCGATTGCCAGACAGAAAAGCGTGATTCGTCACTCCAGAGAACACTTCTCCACTGCTCTAGAGTCCAGTGGCAGCGTGCTTTACACCACTGCATCCGATGCTTTACATTACACTTGGTGATGTAAGGCTTGGATGCAGCTGCTCAGCCATGGAAACCCATTCCATGAAGCTCTCTATGCACTGTTGTTGTTGCTAATCTGAAGGCCACATGAAGTTTGGAGGTCTTTAGCTATTGACTCTGCAGACAGTTGGCGACTTCTGTGCACTGTGTGCTTCAGCATGCGCTGACCCTGCTCTGTCATTTTACGTGGCCTACCACATCGTGACCGAGTTGCTGTTGTTTCCAGTTACTTCTGCTTTGTTCTAATAACACTAACAGTTGACCGTGGAATATTTAGTAGCAAGGAAATTTCACAGATGAACTAATTGCACAGGTGACACCTTATCACAGTACCATGCTTGAATTCACTGAGCTCCTGAGAGCGACCCATTCTTTCACAAATGTTTGTAGAAGCAGTCTGCATGCCTAGGTGCTTGATTGTATACAGCTGTGGTCATGGAGGTGATTGGAACACCTGAATCCAATGATTTGGAGGGGTGTCCCTATACTTTTGGCAATATATGCTGGCCATAGACGGGTCGAAAATCAGCCGATTTTTCAGCCAAAAAAAAAAATGGCTGATTTTCGCACTGTTAGTGGGTTAATTGTTTGGCCGTTTTTCGGGTTTTTTGCACAGTTTTTTTATCGGTTATGTTGGAAAATTCGGCCGATTTTCTCGGCAATGATGGGCAAATTGGCCAATCGTTTTACTGGTAAAAAATCAGTGCATGAACCGTGACATGCAAGGGACAGAAGTTATGGGGTGAACTTTATGATTTTGTTGGCCGATTTTTTTTACCGTTGGTGGTAACGTCGGTCGAACGAACAACCATTTTTTTTTTTTTTTTTTTTCGAAAAATCGGTTGATGTTTGACCCGTGTATGGCCTTCATAAGTGTATTTTGCATACTCAGATCTCCACAGAGAAAGGAATGATTGGTGTTTAATTGAAAACAGATTTTTTTTGTTTATGAAAATCTCTTTTTCATATTATTATTCCTTTAGATAACCCTGTCATACATCAATCCCCATCCTATTCGTGGGAGATATTTAGGTCAAGTCTGGTATTTGCATAGATCAAGCCATGTCTGGGCATCCTGGGCACCAGACATGGCAATTCACTCAATTTAAACTTGCTTGTCATGTTCTTCCTTATGTCTTTAGGTTTACATGTGCTGTCATTTACCAGGGACTAATTATGCACATGGGATCCACGGGTGAAAACATTTACTTAGACTTTTTTATCGCTGCTATGGTGGAATTCCCTGCAGCGTATATAATAATAGTTACAGTGGATCGCATTGGACGCCGATATCCTTGGGCAGTGGGTTGTTTTGTGACAAGTCTAGCCTGCCTTGTTACTGCTTTCATTCCTGAAGGTAAGTCTGTAAGACACATATAGAGGAAAAGCTCATGTGCTTTCATTAGCTTCCAGCTTAAAAGTACTGTAGATGTATTTCCATTCTACCTGCCGTATCTGTAGATGCCCTCAGCTTATATGTATAAATGTATTATTATAGCTACAATGAGTACAGACCACTAAGGCACCTCTGGACCTGGTCAATTACCTGCTGCATGGGATTACTTGGGTGCAAATATTAAGTTCCTTCTTTATAGTATACCTGGCACAAACCTGAGCAATTCAAACTGAGCATATGCACAGAAGACACGGAGTTAGAGAAGTATCCGTTTGTAATAGTATTATTGAATATTTATAATAATATTTCTTTTCTTTTAGTAATACTTTGTACTTGATTACAAAATGATAATTAACATGTGATATAAGTGCTTTTTGTTAAGATGTGAAAGAATAACAAAAATCAGTATTAAACAAACAGGGTTCAGCGAGCGCTAACAGAAAAAAGAGCAGCTAGTACACAAAAAAAGGGAACCATATAACCTTCTAAGATACTCATAAAATATGTAGTGCAGCGCTATAAAAATCATAAAATAAAATTAAAAAACGTAAATACAGTTAGGATAACAAAGTATCAATATAAAGTGCATATATAAGTAGTGTCCTTATCAGGATGTGAAATACTGATAAACAGCCAAAATCCACTATGAACTATAATAGGCAGTAATAGTCCCATAGGTGGTAAAGATGGTGGGAACACAAAGTGGACTGAAAGCAGGTGACTCGATTAATCCCAGTAACACATATAATCTGGTGTCGTGCGGGAATAACGGGTAAATTGCACACTCACCAGAGGCGCAATATACATGCGCATTTACATCAAATGTATCAGAGGTCCCATCAATCCTGGGTAGGATGTAGCCTGGAATGGATGCCTCTTCAGTGGATTATGGTGATGGTACTTCTAGAGGTCCCCTTTAAGGCTTGGTTACAAATGGGGTCTGCTGGGTACAGCTCTCCTCTGGGCCCTGGGCTGGTCACCTGGGTGTCCTAGGGGGTTAAGTGCTCGGTGATAGAAGCAGCTCTTGTAAAGAGATACAGTGGCTGAAAAATCTTCAGCTTTGGATAAACTTCCGGGTGTAGACAAATGATTAAATCCTATCTCCTCACAGGTTCCGAACCCCTCCGCTGCTCCTATGGGACTATTAATGCCTATTATAGTTCATAGTGGATTTTGGTTGTTTATCAGTATTTCACATCCTGATAAGGACACTACTTATATATGCACTTTAGATTGATACCTTGTTATCCTGACTGTATTTATGTTTTTTAATTTTATTTTATGATTTTTATAGCGCTGCACTACATATTTTATAAAAATCAGTATTAGCTTTGTCATACATCTTAAATAATACATGTTTCATGTTGGAACATCCAATATACACCACTTTATAGTATGAGTGTGGCAGAGTTTGAATAAGTGCAATCTGCACATTCTTGCTTAGCAATCAGTAGTGAAATACTGTAAGTACAAAGAAAAGTTCCTCTCAAATACATGCCCTACATATAAATTATTGCCCACATCTGATAAAATGAATGCATAAGATAGGACTGTGCAATAAAAAAAGAGTTATAATAATGTTTAGTAGCCTTAAAGCATCCACTAAACGGAAATGCTGAAGTGACAAACCTTTGGACAGGGCATACTGTACATGCTATGTCTTTGGGAATTGCTTTGCTATGCATGACCTTTAGTATTCCCATAGACACAGCATACATGCTTACAACATTGCTTATATTCAGATAAACTCAAATTACATACATTGGCAGCCATTTATATACTTATTTATCCAACAACATGAAATGAGTAGGATTCTTATACACTTGCCAATATTAAATGTAATTGGTATTTTTTGTAAACCAACCAAAGTGCATTTTGTAAATCAAACATCAATTACAATGTTAACAGAGTGGACAGATTTTGCATTCACATTAGTGATGGGCCAAACACCTCCCTGTTCCGTTCGTAGTCAAACATTCGAACCTACTGAAAGTTCGACTAGGAACTTCAAACAGGGACAATTTACTGAGAGGTATCTTACTGCATCTGAGTATGTGGTAGCATACTGCTCATCTGCTAACATACCGCATAAGTAATATTATTAAGACATGCAGTATATTAGTAGTGAAGACATTATTTAATGATTCAGCTGTCAACAGGGTTCCTCGCTGACAACTGAATGTCAAAAGAATTGTAGGCATTGCCTGACAATTCTTAGTTTTTTTTTTAAATGGCATGGGGTACCCCCTTCCATCCATACCAAGCCCTTCAGGTCTTGGTATGGATTTTGAGGGGATACCCCACGCCAAAATATTTTTTAAAAATGGCATGGGGTCCCCCCAAACTCATACCAGACCCTTATCTGAGCATTCAGCTCGGGAGGTCAGGAAAGGGGGGGGGGGAGGGGATGAGCGAGTAGCCACCCTCCTGAACCATACCAGGCCACATGCCCTTAATATGGGGGGGTGCTTTTGGGCAGGGGGGCTCCCAGATCCTGCCCCCCCCCCCCCCAATGTGATAGAGTATGCGGTGCATGGTACTGCTACTCATTCACAAAAAAAAAGTGTAGTAAAAAAATGACAGAAAAGAATCTTTGACGAGTTCTTTAATAAAAACAAACAAAAATAGAAAAAAAATCAAAAAACACTCTGGTCTTGATGCTGGCTCCCACCACTGGCGCCTGCGGGATGACAGTTCTTAAATACTGTGATAACTTAACAAGGGGGCAGGGTTACCCCGGCCCTTTTGATGTCGTCATGCTCTGTTAATAGCCAAAGCCTTGCACCCGACTTGTGGTCAGGTGCATTGCTTTGGCCAATCACAATGCACTGTGGGGTATGAGGGGTGAACAGCTTGAACATAAAGCCTATTACTCATTCAAATGGCTGATACTAAAAATACAAAGAACAATGGATCAAATTATATAGGCAAGACACATATTTGAAATCAGTGCACGTATTCAGCCAGCCCTGTGTTAAAGCCAAAATCTCTGTCCAAGATAAGTTGGCATAAACATGAGCATCCACCTACAAGTCAGGTGTTCTTTGGGGCCACTTTAGCCACAATTGCCCTAAAGCTAGAATACTGCTCACACAAATGCATCTAGGCTATATTTGCTCAGACATTTTGGCACAAAATGCTTCTACCATCCACATTGGGCCAAAGCTCTGTGTGAATATAGCTTTAGTCTTACCAAACCATTACATTACTACTGTTCTCCATACCTACTAACTTTTTAAGATGGTAAAAAGAGACACATTATAGTATGTAGACAAATGACACACCTCTAGTAATGCGGACCATGATGATTACCGGGCAAACAATGATTGGTGTAACCCAAAATTGCTTTTTTTTTTCATCACTACTTTTTCCTTATTTATATATTTATGCTTTGAAAAAAAAACCAAATGTAATAATTTAAAGATTAGATAAAAGCTTAAATATAAATACATCTGCTGTACATATAATAGACATAATATAGAGAACTACACATCAGCCCAAAAAGAGGGGAAACCTAGGAAGAAAAAAGGACAGAGAGATTTGGTTCCAAAAGGTCTTCAGTCTCTCCAAATGAAGGACAGATGGTTGCTCCACTGACCTCAGAGGGGAGGATGAGCACTGGAACATACCACATGCAGGAAAAGGACAGAAATTCAAACATGATATTACTGTTACTGCCAAGTCTCCCATGCAGTGTTAGAGGTTGCCTTCACTGGGAAGGAGAGAGGGGGAAATACATAGCTCTACAGTATCATGCACAATGATATTCCTTTCCCAATACTGAACTGCTCTCAAGGCTTAGGCACTAGTAGTTTCCAGCAGTGGATGGGAGCTTCAGCTGTGTCCGGACAGTTCCCCTTCAGAGTTTGCAGTTCCCTTTTAGAGTTTGGAGTACCCACGCTCGTTTCCTCTAGGTACTCCGGTTTCCTCACACACTCCAGAGGCATGTTGGTAGGTTAATTGGCTCCTGTCTAAATGGTCCCTAGTATGTGTATGTATGAATACGAGGACCTTAGATTGCAAGCTCATTGAGGGCAGGGACTAGTTTGAATGTACGATCAATATGTAAAGCGCTTTGTAAATTGATGGCGCTATATACAGCGAGGAACAGAAGTATTTGAACACCATGCAATTTTGCAAGTTCTCCCACTTAGAAATCATGGAGGGGTCTGAAATTCACATTGTAGGTGCATTCCCACTGTGAGAGACAGAATATAAAAAAAACATTCAGGAAATCACATTGTATGATTTTTAAAGAATGTATTTGTCTTGCACTGCTGAACATAAGTATTTGAACACCTAAGAAACAGCAAGAATTCTGGCTCTCAAAGACCTGTTACTGTGCCTTTAAAAAGTCCACCTCTACTCCACTCATTAATCTAACTTAGTAGCACCTGTCTGAGCTCTTTAAAGACACCTGTCCACCCCACAGTCAGGCAGATGCCAACTACTACCATGGGCAAGACCGAAGACCTGTCAAAAGACACCAGAGACACAATTGTGTGGACCTCCACAAGGCTGGAAAGGGCTACAGGGCAATTGCCAAGCAGCTTGGTGAAAATAGATCAACTGTTGGAGCAATTGTTAGAAGAGGCTAAAGACGACTGTCAGTCTCCCTCGGACTGGGACTCCATGCAAGATCTCACCTCGTGGGGTATCACTGATGATAAGAAAGGTGAGGAATCATCCCAGAACTACAAGGGAGGAGCTGGTCAATGACATGAAGAGAGCTGGAACCACAGTTTCAAATGTCACTGTCAGTATAACACTACGCCGTCATGGTTTCAAATCATGCATTGCACGGAAGGTTCCCCTGCTCAAGTCATCACATGTCCAGGCCCGTCTGAAGTTTGCCAATGACCATCTGGATGATCCAGAGGAGGCATGGGAGAAAGTCATGTGGTCAGATGAGACCAAAGTAGAACTTTTTGGTCTAAACTTCACTCGTCGTGTTTGGAGGAAAAAGGATGAGTTGCATCCCAAGAACACCATCCCTACTGTGAAGTATGGGGGTGGTAATATCATGCTTTGGGGGTGCTTTCCTGCAAAGGGAACAGTACGACTGGACTGTATTAAGGAGGAGAGGATGAATGGGGCCATTTATTGTGAGATTTTGAGCAACAACCTCCTTCCCTCAGTCAGAACATTGAAGATGGGTCATGGCTGGGTCTTCCAACATGACAACGACCTGAAGCACACAGCCAGGATAACCAAGGAGTGGCTCCGTAAGAAGCATATCAAGGTTCTGGAGTGGCCTAGCCAGTCTCCAGACCTAAATCCAATAGAACATCTTTGGAGGGAGCTGAAACTCTGTGTTGCTCAGCGACAGCCCCGAAACCTGACAGATCTAGAGGAGATCTGTGTGGAGGAGTGGGCCAAAATCCCTGTTGCAGTGTGTGCAAACCTGGTCAAGAACTACAGGAAACATTTGACCTCTGTAATTGCAAACAAAGGCTTCTGTACCAAATATTAACACTGATTTTTTCAGGTGTTCAAATACTTATGTTCAGCAGTGCAAGACAAATAAATTCTTTAAAAATCATACAATGTGATTTCCTGAATTTTTTTTTAATTCTGTCTCTCAGAGTGGGAATGCACCTACAATGTGAATTTCAGACTCCTCCACAATTTCTAAGTGGGAGAACTTGCAAAATCGCGTGGTGTTGAAATACTTCTGTTCCTCACTGTAAGTAACTGTAATAAATAAATAAATAAACATGAGGCTATAACTAAAAGACATTGCTACTTGAAGTCAGAAAATGAGGTGAGTAAAAGCACTGAATAGCAGGCAAGGGTAATAAGAGACTGGGATAGCAACATGACTTGCTGCACATAGCATGGCAGTTTTATACTGAAGACCTTTTTTGAGGCTGAAATCATCTCAAATATTATATATACAGTAGAAACAGTAAAGACATTCTAGGTTTCAGGATTTTTTTATGCAGCAAGATATGTCCACAAAACATCCAAAAAATTAAAACCAACTGTACTTTATTGGTACTTATTTTAAAATGTTGTTACAGTGAAATATACATTTAATATGGTAACTCATTTATAGGCAAGAAAAGTCAAAACATTATATTAGAACTTATAGCCTAAGAAGGCGTAGGATGGGGTGCATTCAGGTAAGTTCAGATCATGTTCTGCAAAGTGAAGATACGTATATGTCATATAAAACATGTACAGTATTGCATATCAAACTTGTATGACTATACAGATATCATGACTAACCTATCATAGACAGTCCAACATGTGTATACCATTACCAAATTTCAAAACAACCAAAGAGATACCGCTGCTCATAGATATGGCCACCAGACAGGACCAATTGGACCCAATATGTATGATGTAACAAAGTAATGTAAGGAAGCAGAAAAAGGGTTTAAGATTTTCTCTATATCTCCAGGTAATAATATTATCCAGAGAGAAAAATCAAAGCATTCACATAGATTGACTTACATAGAATTAGTGAAAAAATCCAGCAAGACTCAATAAGTGTTGAAAGAAGCAAAAACAAAAAGAAAAGGAATCCATATAGGACCAAAGTAGTAAAAAAGCCTCTAGAACAATACCGCACACTAGCATTCCTTCAGAGTTTTTCCTCAGGGGGTTGGGAGAAATATTTGAACATAATTTACACAATCTCCCTTATGGCTTCTCTATTTTTTTTGTTTTGTTTTTTAATTTGTATGTTTAGTATCCAGTATTTATGAAGGAAGTCCTATAACAAATGGATGTAGATTATGGTCTATCAATCTGCTTAAATTTTCCGCTGTTGAACCATTTTCTGAAATGATTGGGGGCCCTGGTGGTTGGGTGGAATTTTTGGGGGGATTTTTTATTTATTCTCTTTAGTTTTTGTTTTATATATCAATTACTTGTTCTTTTTCCTATGATATATATGATATTATAAGATGTTTAAAAAGGTCTTTTTGTTATTTTGTAAGCGCTGTTGCTCTATGTGGCACCAGAGAGCGCTCTCTGACTTTGTATGTTGTGTCCACCCGACGCACGCAGGCCTTCCCTGTTTTTTGTCGTTTTAGAATAGTCCCTTTCTAATGGCACATTGATTTGCTTCCATCTGAGAGCAAGGTCTGGTTAGACCGAATCTCGCTTCCCTTGCTGTGCGTCGGTGGCCATGTGACGGGTGATGTCATTGTACCCGAAGGGGTGGTGTTGCGCCATGCTGCCTAGCCAGGGAGTCCCATCGGGACCGCAGTACAGCTGATTGCTGCGGCATCAAGCTGCACAGGATGACTGCCCACTTTCCAAACCAGCAAGCCCTATTTAATGGCAGGGAAATAGCATCTTGTTGGTGATGCCTGTCAGCTGCATTTGTTGGCTACCCTGCCATGTGATCTGTAAGTCCCTGAATGCTAGTGTGGGGTACTGTTCTAGAGGCTTTTTTTACTACTATGGTCCTGTATTGGATTCCATTTCTTCTTTTTGTTTTGCTTCTTTTAGATTATCATCTATTTGAGTCCTTATAATGATAGCCTCTGTATTGCTATAATTACACTAACTTAGACTAAACAATCAACATCTATTGGATCTAGCTGTACTTTTTCACTAATAATATGGAAGTTTAAATGAATGCTTTGAATTTCTCTCTGGATCATATTATTGCCTGGAGAAATAAAGAATATCTTAGACCACTTTTCTGTTTCCTTACAGTACTTTGTTACATCATATATATTGGGTCCACTTGGTCCTGTCTGGTGACTCCAGTGATTACAGCATCCCAGGTCTCCTGTTAGCCATATCTATGAGCAGTGGCATCTGTTCACATGGTTGTTTTTATGTTTGGTAATGGTATACACTTGTTGGACTATCTATGATAGGTTAGTCATGATATCGTAATAGTCATACAAGTTTGATATACAATACTGTACTTGTTTTGTATGACATATACTTGTCCTCACTTTTCAGAGCATGAGATTTGAACTTACCTGTATGCACCTCTGAAGAAGAGAATTGATTTTAAAACGCGTTGGGTGTCATCATACACCGTCTTAGGCTATAAGTTTTATTACAATGTTCAGACTTGTATTGTCTATAGATGAGTTACCATTTAAACTGTATATTTCACTGTAACAACATTTTAAAATATGTACCAATAAAGTACAATTGGTTTTGGATGTTTCTTGGACATATCTTGTTGCATAAAAAATCCCTAAACCCAGAGGGTCTTTACTGTTTCTATATGGAATGGTAGAGCTACAGGGACGTAATGGACTGACCCAACAAATAATTGTAGGCAACAGCAGAACACAGAAGAACAATGGAAGACAATAATGAAATACAAAGCAACCTAGAGATGCAAACTACTCATGCAAATGTAGAATAGGCTATGGTCACAAGGCAGGGACTCAAATCCAGGCACACAAAAGCAGGCAGGACATTGATAGAAGATGAAAAACCCAGAGTAGAAGAATATAGAACAAGACAAGATTGAAAGAGAACAGCCACTCATCAATTGGACAGATGCTGCCTGTGTACTCTTCTAATATTTCATCACGGATGGTCTGCCAACAATGAGATCCAGTTTGTAAAACATCTTGTACTTCTTTTTCAGGTTTACAATGGCTAAGAGTGACTTTAGGATGTTTAAGCAGAATGGGGATTACACTTTCTTATGAAATGATTTGTTTGGTGAATGCTGAGCTTTATCCAACTTTTATCAGGTAAAAAAAAAAAATAAAAATAAATATATAGATATACAAAATGAAACTGTAATTATGTACAATATGTGCTATAGAACCCCCCTTGAAAACGAAAAAAAAAAAAACCCTGGAAATTACAGTAGTAGTCACTGTTATTACAATGATTGCCACTGGCTTTCAGGTCCCATGCTGAGCGTCTGCCCTCTGCTGCATTGTAAATACACAAGGTTGCTCTCTTGGCACTGGTGCCATTCAGGGAATACTTTGCATTTTTTCACAGTATGCAAGTGTTCTATGATTGGACATGGTGTAGAGGCAGGGTAGAGACGTGAATCTCCACCTCGTTCAATAACAGAATACTTAGGCTCATGCACACTGGTATATGGTTTTAAGTCGGATCTTGCTGGCAGTAAGAGGGCTCATTCACAAAGAGGGCTCATTCACATGGGTGCAAAAAACACTGTGATCAGATCCATAATACATACTGTCTTTATGGAGCTAAGCACAGCTGTGAGATCTTCTATGGGCCCATACGCACATCAGTGCAGTGCTCCGTGATCTGGAGATGTGTTCAACCGCATCACAGTTCTGCATCCTTGATTGGTGCTTTCACGTAATTATAAAAGCGCATTTTAGTGATGCAGTAAGGACCACCAGCCCCTGATGCTACACAAAAAAGGAGGACTTTTGACATCTCTAGACTGGCAAGATGACAGCTTTATGTATGTAAGCAATTTAAAAAAATGAGGGTGAGTGGGTCCAGCAATGGGAAAGGGGGGAGGGGGCATGTAAGGGCTAGGTTGCTACCATGGCTGGCCATCTGCTTTAAGAGAAGACAAATGCCTGCTTAGAAATCACATGCATACATTATGTTTTACTAGATTTTATTATTTACTTTAAAAGTCAAAACTGTAAACACAGTGTATACAGCATGTTTTGTAAAAAACCTTACTTCTTGTCTGAGTCTTCTTTCTCTCTTTTGTGAGGAATCTTGGCATAATGGTCTGCTCATCAATGTGTGATCTGGGAGGAATAATTACACCATTTATTGTTTATCGGCTGTCAAATGTCTGGAAGGAGCTACCACTCATAGTATTTGGTAAGCAAATCATCAAAGTGAAAAGATACCATACTTCTACATGTTAAAAGTAATATCTGAGAACCCAAAACTAACCAACTTTGTAAATATAAAGTAGAAATAATTCAATAAAATAGCAAATAATACATACAGCATTTCACCACAAATGTTACTCAATTGTACTCTTAAATTTTGCATAAGTTAACCACTGTGACTAATCAAAGCAAGAAATGTGTTTCAAATTAATGTCATGGCTTGCTCTTGCTCCCTGACTCTATTTTTGTATGTTTGACATCATATGTATATAGTTTTCTTAAGCAAATTGTGTTTTGTAATCTGTTGCTGAGTTTGTTACGTGGAGATCCAGCACTTCCAGTTGCAGGATAACAACACTAAAGCAGGCAATAGACGGTGAAAATTTCTTTCCTGCGATTGTAGGAAAAAAAATTGTACGATTTTCCCATCACTACAGGCAGTGCTTACCTTGGAATCACTCCTGTCGAGATATTGTATTCTCTTGGCAGTGGGGTGGGGGAAGCCGTCCCTGCCGGGAGAAGACAGTGATTATTGCTAGCAGCTATAGCAGCTGCTAGCGATAATTGCAAGTAAATCCAGCAAGCTGGTTGTACCTAAGTTGATCAGTAAATCAACCTGGTACATTCAACCTGCCCATACATGGTTGGAATCTCGTCCAGTTCCTGCTGAGATTCAAATTTTCTATGGCCGGCCTAAGCCACTCTCTTACAATTAGCAGTAGCAGTACAGGGCTGAGATTCAGTGTGTTGTGAGAAGATGGTCAGGGCCAAACCTAACCCAAGTTCAGACTAAACCTAAGCTCAACCCTAGATAGAACTGATCACTCAGATCTGGCCTCTGCTCAACACACAGAACACCCACAAGATATATGGTAGACTCTCCAGTGAAAAGAAAGCTTGTATCCCTTCAATTCCTCTGAATATTATATAGAATAGAAAGTGTGACAAAGTACCTACTCAGTTTTAAAAGTTAGCATTCATAAATGCAGAAGAAGCTTGGGATATGCAGTACCTTTGCACTGTATTACATAAATAGATGTACACAAACCATTTGTATGTATGTTGAACTTATGCATTTGTTTCTGTTAACTTTTGGCCATGTACTCTAGCTGTAATTGGAACACTTTCAGCAGTTCTTGTTCTGTTTCTTTCCTGAAACTAAAGGACGGGCTCTACCAGAAACTATTGAAGAAGTAGAGAATTTGCAGAAGTAAGTCTGACCAACAGAATCATTTACATCCAAAATCATGTAAATAATAGTCCAAATGTGCTAAGTTCGGTTTATTTAATGAAAAGGAAACATTTGCTAAAAAGTTGTGGATATACAAACACTGTTTATCAATGAAATACCTGCAACCCCAGGGATCTTGTGTGATTCTTGGATTGCTGAAAATTCAAATTATGAGTTAGAGTCCATAACAGGTTGTCTGCAATCCTTCCTATTACCCGTAAGGGCCAATTTCCACCTGCCTGAGATTTGATAAGAAACCAAAGAGCACGGAAAAATCTGTACATAGTATTCAACAGACATGTGCACACTGAAAATTTTCATTTTGTTTCGGATGCATATATTCATTGAAGAATTTTGTTTTGTCATTTTTGCTTTTGTTGAACTGATTCATTTTCGGAATTTGCTCCGTAACTTTGTTGGTCTTGGTGGATTAAATATTTAGCAGTTTTCTTGCAAGATTGCTTTATATTTTGGATGAATTTTATATTCATATATCAAAACTATTTGGAAGGATTCAATATTTTCTGAAGCAACAGAATAAATACTGCAAAATTTGGCAGCTCTGAATTTTCCAAACTTAAAAATTGCATTAGACTATGGAACACTGACTGACTGTGACAATTACACATTCAATTTAAATCTCAAAATAATTCAAATCTGAACTATCGAACAAATTCGAAAATGTAATTAATTTACATGTGATTATATCAAAATTGCAGCGCTAAAATAGTAATAATAATATCAAATGGCAATATAAAGTGATAAGTGAAACAGTGCTACCAAGGAGTGCAATAAAGTGGCAATAGTGCGTTGTCCTAGACTGGTATTGAGGAGCGGCTTTGCAAGTGAGTGCGGAGATAGAAGAGAGCTGAGCTTTTTTCTGGTGGCTTATTCCTGGAGTTGCTGTAAGGTGGAGATCCAGCGTTACTAAGTTGCTGTGAAAGCAGGTGGAATTAACACAGAGGAGCTGTTCTGTTTGCTGTGAGGGTCCCACGGAGAGGTCTGAAGTCCGGTTAAGGGTGTAGCGAGTACCTGAGAAGTACCATATCTCCATCGGCTCCTAGATGACCGCTAGTGCCCTACAGAATACCTTTACATGCACAATTTGGTTGTGTGTCTGGTGAGTGCAAGCACACCCTCATTTTCCTTACCCACAAGGAGTCACAAGCACCATATTTATTTGAATCTGTGAAGGAGCTGCTAAGTATCCGCACACACTGGATATAAGCTCATATCTAAGGAAGAATTTGTGTGGACTATTATACATTTATACTGTGCGTTTATGTCACTGGTTTTCGTCCATATAGGACGACGACTATTGTCACTTTATTGCGCTCCTTGGTAGTGCTGTTTCACTTATCACTTTATATTGCCATTTGATATTATTATTATTACTATTTTAGCACTGCAATTTTGATATAGTTACTTTTAAGGATTTAGAGGTTTTTTTTTTTTTGCAAGCTGCTTTATTATATTGTTTTATTAATTTATATAATTTAACCAATTCAATACCGGGCAATTTTACACCTGCCTGCCCAGGCCAGTTTTCAGGTTTCAGCGCTCTCACACTTTGAATGACAATTGCACGGTCATACAACATTGTACCCAAACTAAAATTTTATCATTTTCTTCACACAACTCGAGCTTTCTTTTGGTGGTATTTAATCACCGCTGGGGTTTTTATTTTTTGCTAAATTAACAAAAAAAGACAAAAATTTTGAAAACAAATAGTTTTTCTTTGTTTCTGTTAAAAAAGTTTGCAAATAAATAATTGTTCTTCATAAATTTAGGCCGAGATGTATTCATGTCTTTGGTGAAAATAACCCAAATTAGGATGTATTTTTTAGTTTGTAGGAAAGTTATAGAGTTCACAAACTATGGTATAGATCTGAATATTGATCAATCCTGAAGTACTGACAGCCAATCTAATTTCTTGAGGTCCAAGAATGTCAAAACAGTACAGATATCCCCCAAATGACCCCTTTTTGCAAAGTAGACAGTCCGATGTACTTCATAAGAAGCATGGCGAGTTTTTTGAAGTTGTATTTTTTTTGTCATAATTTTTCAGAAAAAGAAAAAATTAAAAAAATTAGTTTCACTATTTTTTTTTTTTACATATTGTCACCAGTGCAGTACAGCGTCATCATATAACTGGCATGGCGGTGATCAGGGACACTGACTGGTGAAAGTATGAAAAAAAAAATAAATATATATGTATATATATATATATTTTTTTTTTGTATTATTTTTTATTAAATTTTTTTTCTTTTTTTTAAGATTTTTTTTCATATTTCATTATGACCAAAGTAGTACAATGTTACCATAGTAACATTGTACTACTTTGGGGAAGTGATCAGTATTTTTTTTTTTTACACAATTTGCTTATAGCAAAGAATTACTTTGCTATAAGCAAGCATTTACCTGAATGACATCGATTCATTCAGGGTTTTTTTTTTGTGCTTAGCTGTGATTTGGCCACAGCTAATCACATGACATGTGCATGTGATTAGCTGTGACCATTCACAGCTAGACACTAGTATACAATGGATGGCATGAATGAAGCCATCCATTGTATACAACTGTCATGTGACCTGCTGTGATTGGTCACAGCAGGTCACATGGTACCGGCAACGGGGCCGATACTCAGATCTGTCATCGGTCGTGTCAGAGGTACACGGCCAGTGACAGATCGCGCCGCTGCGCCGCTCTGCAGAAGCGCAATCTGCGCATGTGCGGGAGGACACCATATGGCGTCCACCTGAAACGCTGATGACATTTGCCGCCCACCATTCGGCCATAGGGCGGGCGGCAAATGGTTAATTACAATAGCGCTCGCTTGAATATTATTATTTGAATTTACATGTGATGTCATTCAAATGAAACAAATGCATTTGTTTCGTTATAACTTTTTGGATTTGTTGAAATCGTTATATTTGTGTACATCCGAATCTCCGAAAATCAATTTTTCATCCAGAAATCGATTCATTAAGATATGAAATGTCTAGTATTCAGTGGTACAGTTTCAATCTATCTAAACTGATGGTTTTCTTCAGTATTTTCAAGATGCATAGTCATTGTTTTTAGTGGCCAAGCATGCAAACTGAAAGCAAACCAGAAGCAAAATGCTTTGGTTTGTTTCAAAACCTCAACTGTGAAAATAGGTCATTATTGTTTAAACCACTTTAATGTGTGGATGTCAGTCTAAAGAAGTGGGCATTCTAGACAGGCTGCATGTGCATGCGGACTACCCTAGGTCATGGTGGGCAACCTTTTTTTTCAACTGAGCCAAATCTCGCCAAACCACGATTGAAATTTATTTTTGAGAGCCACATTTTTAAAACTGAAAATACATAGGATGGTACACTGTTTTTTAGTTTCAATAAGTTTTTTTATAGTAATTCATCCCCCCATATAGTAATTCATCCCATAGGTAATTCATCCCCCATAGTAATTTAACATCCCCCCATATAGTAATTCATCCCCCATATTAATTCATCCCCCATATAGTAATTCATCCCCCATAGTAATTCATCCCCCATAGTAATTCATCCCCCATATAGTAATTCATCCCCCATAGTAATTCATCCCCCATATAGTAATTCATCCCCCATATAGTAATTCATCCCCCATTAATTCATCCCCCCATAGTAATTCATCCCCCATATTAATTCATCCCTCATATAGTAGTAAGTAAGTAAGTAGCAAGTAGTAAGTCAAGTCCCTCCTGTGTCAATTCACTTACCTTTGCTCCGCGCGTTCCTCTCGCCGTGCTCCCCGTGCCGTTCCGGTCTTCAGGGCGGACTGTGAGAGGAGCCTAGCTCCCCTCACGTTCGTCACGCTGCCCCCCGCCTACACACATCCTGACAGCCAATCACTAGCTATCAGGATGTGAGTGGCAGCGAGACTGGCCAATCATTGCTGGGCTAGCTGCAGAGTCCTCGGCCACCCGAAAGGAGGGAGGGGAGGGGAGCGGCCGCCCGAGAGGAGGGAGAGGAGGGAGGGGAGGGGAGCGAGCGCCCGGCACACAGAAGAGCCGCATTAAAATGTGTAAAGAGCCGCATGTGGCTCGTGAGCCGCAGCTTGCCGACCACTGCCCTAGGTCATGCCCACATGTGATGCAGAGCCTTTATAATTGAAAGAAATAAAATTCAAAGAATGAAATGGGCAAGCCAAGGTTAGTAAGGTTGTGGAGGAAAGCGCTGGATGATGCTGGGTGTCTGCCAACAAGGAAATGAGGTGGGCTCTGCCTTCTCTGCTGTAGCTTCTAATGCACACTGTACGATGCTTACAGTGTGCAACAAAATCAAAGTAAGAAATTTCAGTATGGGAGAGGAGCCTGTACAACTGTGCAAAACTGAAAATAAGGCTGGAGTTCAGCTTTAAAACATATATAAAACTTAATACCAAAAATTTCAGTTCCTTAGCTTTCGTGGCTTTTTTAGCTTTCTTTTTCAGATCAGGGCATATACAGTAACGTGGTCAAGTTCAATAACAGAAGATCAGCAAAACACACACCCAGGGGCTGACTGACCATTTGAACACTCGGGCATTGCCCGAGGGTCTGGGGTCAATAGGGGGCCCCATAAAATGCTCCTGGTACCTTTTTTATAGGCTTTTTTGAGTGTGGGCAAGGACACAGGGGCCCCATGATCCCCTAATGTTCGGGGGCCCCATGAGTTGTCAGTCCGCCCCTGCACACACCTGAGAATTCTAGAGAGTCCAACCAATCATTAAGTGTTCCAAAGTGCATGTGCACACATGTTCATGTGAATAATACATTTGAGTACCTAAATATGTGCATGAGTGCTGGGGGGGAAATGACAGGTGTAGGTAATTGAGGCGATATTAAAGTATGGCCTGAGGATTGCAAACCTTTGAATTTAGTGTAGGCCACATAGCCTGAGGCATAGAGCACCAGGGCTTCT